TTCCAGCGGTGGTAGGAACTCATACCGCCAGAACTTTTCTCACCGATTGGTAACAGCAATAGCGCATCGCGTTGGGTGATAACCACAGCCGTGTCTCTCGGGCATACCACTGTTCCTTTCTGACCAGCCCAGCTGGGTCGCTCAAGTTGAAGCATATCTTGGCTTCTTCCTGCAGACGATGCAGACAGAATCATAATGTCGCCCTTCATCGCCCATTGCGCTGACGATTCCTGAGGATTGTCCGAATTCAGAATATAGATCTGTGCCATCCTTGCAGATAGCACATGCGGCGGCGCTCGCCACTGTTGTGCACCAACTGGTATCTAGCACAGCTCGGCACACTTGTCGGAGAATGAATAATCAAAATTTCATTCGACGAATGAAAGCCTATCGATGGTTGCCCTCCATCATTCCAGCGAACTCGAGGAGCTTGCTCTGCAGTCACAATACGAGTACAGTACGAGTATCCGTACAGCATTTGCCTTCGTTCCCATGCCCAGCGCTAGCGAGAGGAACAGGTTTGGAGGACTTGCAAAAGAGAAACATAAGCATTTCTGTGCCATTGCTGGCACTAGCGCCTCCGAGCTAGATCCTTCAAGAAGTGGACCGAAAAACTGTACCGACATGGTTTGGGAATTACCCCTGCTTACGTAATTAACTACGTCAGCACACCAAAATAGCACACGCACGTGACTCGTGTCGTGTCACCACAGTCGACGCGACGTACATCGTGTGTGTGTGTCGTCAGTGACTTGACGTAACTAGCTGTTACTTTATTTAGCTTAGTTACCTGGTTACCTGGTTACAGTAGTTGAACTCTGAATGCCGGCATGCATGCATGCTGCATGCTACAAAGTACAAGTACATGTACACGTAGCTGCGTAGACTCTACGTAGTGCAGTGCAGGTTGAAAAAATGAAATGAATCACATAATTATTACTGTACTAGTATTAAATATTCTAAATTATTCATTCGAATCACTTCGTCTTTGGACTATTGACATTGTTGTTACAGTACACTGTTAGCTCAAAGGAAATGTCTTGCTGGAAACTCGAATGACTGCACATGGAACTGGAGACTAATTCAACTGATGTTGATTGTTGTTAGAAGTGACAGTACAGTCAGTACTTAGCTATTGTACCTGCTCCGAGAATGGCGGACGTTGATTCTGCTTCTGCAGTATCCCAACTCAGTACAAACTGGCTGAGTGGATGTGGTTCCAAGAAATCCAAGTCCACTCCAAACGCAAGCTCGTTTTCTATTTTGATACAGGAGCGCCCAGAGAGGTGAGGTCATCCATCCTAGATACGATATTAATTTTTGTGAGGGTGTTCTATACTTTCTATCCAGTATTCACACGGCCTGCCTTGTGCTGGCAATGCTCGACGACTTTAGGGGAATGTGTTTACTTGGGCCTCCACGTGTTTCTTTTCAAGGATGCTGGTAAAATGTATCATTGGAACTGGTGGTCCTTGATTTATGACGTGGTGCTGTCACCACAAGGGTGGGGCCTTGAAGGTTTTGCTTACCAGTATCTCTCACTGTATCACTTAATATCAACGTTTCGGCAAATTGCCATCATCAGGATGCAATATGAAGTGGAAGTCTACCAAGGAGCAGTGTTATCTACAATACGTTGGTGTAATTCAACACTAATGAGACAGTGAACTGATTTGTGAATTTGCAGTGCCCAGGGAAAGAGCATGTGTGCTCACCACCCCTGTGTGGAGTGAGGTTATGCGATTCCCGCTGGTGCCCGGCATGACGCATGTCACTTGGCCGATTGGCGTGGTGAATGACGTTTTTCTGTCACCGCCAGGAATCGACTGCTCTTCGAATGAGAAGTTCCTCCAAAGGACTGATCTCAGTCACTACAATTCCTACAGTATACACTGTAACAGTGTGTGATAATTTGCACCTTGAACTGGGCATGCACACCTTATAGGAGTGCAGTGCTGTCAGGCGCTGAAGAACAGAGCGCCGACGAACTGTAAAGTGTCTGTTTTACTGAAACGCAAAGATTTGCCATGAGTTTATTCCACATACCAATAACAGTATGTGTGGTGGATTTTTCTTAATTGTGTGTGTTCTCCAAGGTAATATTTTCAGAAGTTCTATATGCCCTTTAAGGTTATTGAGCACTCTTCGGACAGTGAAGCACACTACTGTGTAAGCAGAAACATTCGTCTTTTTCGTCCAAGGAGCTTTTGGACTAAATTAAATGCCGGACTAATGTCGATTTGTCCAGCTTTTCAATACACTCTCATGATCCATGGACGAAATTTACAACCGGACGAACTCCCTTTCTTTGGAGTTGGACGAAATTATTGACCGACGACATTTTCTGCCTGTACTTGATTACAGAAGTTCATTTTGTTATGTTGAGGTTCTCTCTGTCTTTTTCTCCTATCTATTCGACAACGCCATGCTATCCCATTCACCATGTAGTCTCGGCGTGGGTGCAAAGGTGTCTGCCAAGGAGAGGGAAAAGGCGAAACACCAGGCGCGGGTGCGTGATGCTATCTGCAAGGGACTAAAAGCGAATCATCGTCAAAAGGACACAGGGCACCGGAGACCTGGTAAGTGCAATGCAACTTGTAGTACAAACGTTCACTCGTTAGACGAGCAGAGCAAACTAGAATTTGCTCCGGGCTCATCGATACTGAGTACCCTTCTGCTGGTACATATATAGCGATAATTCCGTAAAAGTGTCAGGAATGCTTCTTCTCATTGATGTTTTCATTGTGTTTTAGTCATTTCTTCACCTTCACCCTGTTGTTGACTTATTCAGCTGAATTTTAATTTTTCCACACGTATAGCGTGAGGTTCTCAATCTATGCTTTTGCTGTAGCTCTATAAGTTGCTGTATTTGACACTTTTCCATTATTCCCTGTATTTAGTATTTTAATACCCATGATGAGAAGGGAACGAAAACGTTCGGTTAATAAATTGGCTTACTTGACTGTGTGGATTGCGTCGGTGCTGACACCTTTCTTTCGAAATTCCGTTTACGTCATTGTTATTTTGAGCTGTTTTTATTGAGTGGCATCACAAACACTGATGTGCTACTCGACACAAAGCGTGTTTGATGAGTCTGATGACATCACTCGAATAACCTCCTTACTCTAATGTGCATTGAACAATTGCAGCCAATATAATATACAAGTCTAAGGCAATACTTATAATATACAATTGTAAGGCACTATAGTGGGCAAATCCCCTCACACAGAAGCAAAGACATGCTCCAATCGAATATAGAAAGACACAAAGAGGCGTTTTGGAGAAAGAAGCAAAAAATAGAACAAATGATGCCAACATAATACCATATCACTTTTACACTGATTTCACACCATTGCGACAATGTAATCACTTTTTCACCCTTGCACCCTTGCTGCTAGCCTGCTACTATAGTTTTTGTATTACTAACCTCCAATCATGACTTTGTCATAATATGTAAACAGTTTCCTCTGAGACAAAAATGCGATAATACTCATAAAAAGGACACACTTCAGGCTCATTACAAACATCTTGAAAGTTTTCGTCTTCACAAGTATACTTTCAAGCCTTCTCATCAGGTGAAATACAGGCAAGGGAAAAGGAACAGGAACAGTGGATTAAATACAGTAAGAAGGTGGTAAAACAGCGCAAAAAGAAAGAAAGAAAGAAAGAAGATAGCTAAAGTAAACAGCGAAATATATTATGAGTATTGTCATAATATAGTACTGTTTATTCACCTGTAAATCAACATTCAATGTACCGGTAGGTTCACTGATGACCATCGAAAGAAAAACGTTTATGAATGCACATGTTCATACCTTTTTGCAGTTCATGATTGTGACATGCTATTACTACGGTAGTATCATGTTGGCATCATTAAATGTTGTTGTTTTATTTCCAGTGTTTGCATCTCTCTGAAAGACTTGAGTGCGAGTACATTGTACTTTGTGCATATTTATCACCACATCTTACCATTTTCTGTGTGTGTGTGTGTGTGTGTGTGTGCTTGTGGCTTGCTGTTTGGGTAGCAGATCAGGCACTAGCAGCCAAGCGGCAGATAGCTGAAGCCGAATCGAGCAGCAGTGATGAGGAGGAGAGTCGTACCGCCATCGCTCCGAGGAAGAAAAAGAAGTGCTAGGGAAATACCGGCTTTTTCTTGTGCACATACATTTGTGGTGTGTGCATTTCATGGTGTTTTTTCGACTGCACAAAATCACAAAATTGTGACTGTACAAAACTGTACAAAATTGTGGATTTTTGTAGGGTTTTTTAATGTTTGCTGATCCTTGTATTCTAGTTACCAGTATGTTGTAGTCCGTGTACAAATGGCCGTCTTGTGTAAATAGCTTTGATTGTATATATTATTGAGGCAAGCTATGGTTGACTTCCAGATTGATTGAGACCAAAGATGAAGTTTTCATGAGAATTATGTGACAGTGTGTTCACTTTTATTCTCTGACTGAACCGAATCTACTTTCATGCGGGCATTCTTGCTTTCTTTATTTTCCCACTGTTCGCTCCTGCGGTGATTAAAACGTTATTGCTCGATTCCTTTATCAATAAGACTGGAGTCTCTACGTGCACCGCCAATATTTCTTTGATTTGCAAGCCTCTGAGAGTAACGACTGTGTTCACTACAGTGACATCAGAGGGGGGGGGGGGGGGGGGGGGCTCTCTAGCTCTGCTTCTGGCGAGTGATTTTTTTGAGATTCCAGCGTCTTTGTGTCCTATTCAGCGCTTGTACTTGTTCACATAGTAGATACCGTACACTGTGCATGCAGTGTTACCAGTACGTAAAACCACACTGGTATTTTCTATTTTCCTTCCAGCTTGGCACGACGTTCTTAAAAATGTTGGTGGTAGCTCTCCAGCCAGGATGTTCTTTGGCTGCTCGATGTTACTCCGTATAAAATAATAATTAAAAAATATAAACTACATCTGTTGTCCCTGTCATTTTGATGAAGCCCAGAGTGTGCAGATCGGATGGGTTGCTGCCACGGCGAAATTCTGGGTTTATCATTTTAGTGTTATATGGTCCATACACGCAGGATTCAAGCAAGTCTCCTGCATGCTCGGTTGTATGCACTCCCCGCCCGGCGCATAACTGCATCAACTATGAGTCCCGGAATTTTGCCACAACAGACACCCATGCAGGGAAGTCAGAAGCTGCATATATACATACACCTACACACCTTTTCGACTCTTTGGCACCCATCGCCAGAGGTGATGATAGCGATGCTACGGTAGAAGCCATGACACACATGCACTCTCTGTCTGTCTGTCTGTCTCTCACACACACACACAATGTTGGAATCGAGAAGAAAGATAGGGGCATCCCAAATCGCTGCAAGAACAAGAAGAGAACTCGTAATCTGCATTGTGTCCATTCTCGTTCAAACTGGACGCAAATCTAACCAACTCGTGCACGTGGTAAAACTAAAAATAAAGCAAAATACATAATTATACAAAACTACTTGAAGTACTTACAAGTAGCAAAAACATCTATGTACAGATATTGTCAATTGTTGTCGGTCATCAAACGTATGAGCAAGTTTTATGAGAGAGGAATGGGAAGAAAGACGAAAAAAATCAAATATGTGCACACGGCATTAGTACATGCCCACATAATTATCACAGTGCATGCTAGATTTGTATACGAGGGGCTCATGGGGTCCATATGGGGCTACTAGTAATTGAGCTCCCTATCAAAGGCTGGCATCCAATTATTCGCTGGATCCACAGGATGCATGGAGCTGATGAGAAAAAGTATGACAGAATAAGCCAGCATAGAGGGTAGAGGAAGGGAGAATCGGCAGCATTTCAGTTTCAGAACATGCAGAGCATAGTCGAGACTTCGAGGGCAATAAACACTATAATACAAAGGCATTCCTCGGAAAGTGTGCGTGTGTGGGGAGAGAGAGAGAGAGAGAGAGAGAGAGAGAGAGAGAGAGAGAGAGAGAGAGAGAGAGAGACTACTGGTAAACCAACTGTTAAAAAAGAATAAAGACTTCACCAACACAGTGCTACCTGGCGCTCGTGAGCTATACACTGGTTTCTTCACCGTGGCAACAGGTAAGCTTGTAAGATAACATACAGCGTGCCGGCACTCAAGATGCTCCAGCAATTGCCTTGGCTTGCGACTGGCGACGTACCTCAAACACCTGATGCAAAAAGAAACAGCAAAAAAGAAAGACACACAATAACATACCACCTACATCACAGCTTAGGTCACAGGTAGCAGTGTAGAGCGGTCTATCAAAACAGAGAGAAGAACCAGAAACCTCGGCAAATACAGTAAAACCTGTGTTGGCCGGACCATGTACCAAGCGGAATCCTGTATTGACCGGACACAGTTTCATGCACCAAAGTGCTGTGGATTGAACGTGCATCCCTGGATCAAGTGGAATCCTGTACTTCTGAAGTACATGTAATATCAGGCCAGTTCCCGCTGGACCAAGGGCGTCCGGTTAGGGCAGGTTTTACTGCACATTACGATGGCTTCCACACCACGCATGTACAGTGTACATGTATATGCACCGATAAGTTACTAGTACTGCACAGTTAGCAGCTGCTGGCTGTGTGTGAGACACAGACAAATTGAAACAATAGCGCACCATACATGGTACAGAGAACAGGTCACATGAACTACTATACACGAAGACAAGAAATAGGAATAGCCAAGCCACAGAGTGGAGCACTTGACTCTGAAAAGTGAAGCTTCAAGAAACACAGGCACACATCTCCTTACTTCTTGGATTGCCTCGCGGAAGCAATGGAAGTTGTAATCGATGAGCCCTGAGCACAAGAACAAAACAATGTCCGGAAAGCAGATTTGCTCGATAGATTCATGTGCAAATATAGCCTTCTTGCCTCCAAAGCAACCTGGGTAATAAAGAGATGTACCAAGTATCTGGCATGCACTTGGAATCAATCATAGACTATAGTCATGCTACAGAGAACATACTTCAACACCAGAAGCGAAGCTTACCTTGCCGGCCAAAGTGATCTTCCCGCAGAATACAAACCAGTGCCAGGAATCTGAAGGACACAGGTAAGATAGAGCAAACACAGTGCTGGCAACTGAAATCCGAGCACGAGGGAAGTCACTCAAGACAAAGACCAAGACAGGAGAATGGCAAGTCAGGATCTACCAACGGGCAAGCTGAAGACATGCCAAACCCCATGGAGCGCGTACCTGTTCACCTCCCGCAGGTAGAGGATAGTGCCGTTATTCAACTTGATGATAGAAGCTGACTCTGAGTCGTACGCTGAACCACTCGCATCATCCTCTCGTATCCTGACAGTGACAACAACAATTGCAACAACAGCACCACCACTTCTCAACTGCTGATCTATACACTACATGGGTTGAAACCAAGCTAGCGAGTGACACATTCGTGAGAGTAAAACACAATCCTATGTTCACGCACAGTGCAAAGTGGAAAGCACTGCTCAGACAGTTGGCCACATCGAACCCAGCATCTACCTGAGTGACAACCCTGGACAAAACAAGTCGGCCCCATCGCCACAAGACTATCTCTGAATTCAACTCACCCATATATGCAAGACACGTCAATGACTACGTCAATCATGTCACAGCATAGCTCATAGGACTGCATGTCAACAGGTGAACTGGAGAGGAGGGTAAACACACACACACGCGCGTGCACACACACACACACATGTACACACAAACATGCACACACACACACACACACACACATTCACACACATTCACACACATTCACACACATTCACACACATTCACACACATTCACACACATTCACACACATTCACACACATTCACACACATTCACACACATTCACACACATTCACACACATTCACACACATTCACACACATTCATTCACACACACACACACACACACACACACACACACACACACACACACACACACACACACACACACACACACACACACACACACACACACACACACACACACACACACACACACACACACACACACACACACACACACACACACACACACACACACACACACACACACACACACACACACACACACACACACACACACACACACACACACACACACACACACACACACACACACACACACACACACACACACACACACACACACACACACACACACACACACACACACACACACACACACACACACACACACACACACACACACACACACACACACACACACACACACACACACACACACACACACACACACACACACACACACACACACACACACACACACACACACACACACACACACACACACACACACACACACACACACACACACACACACACACACACACACACACACACACACACACACACACACACACACACACACACACACACACACACACACACACACACACACACACACACACACACACACACACACACACACACACACACACACACACACACACACACACACACACACACACACACACACACACACACACACACACACACACACACACACACACACACACACACACACACACACACACACACACACACACACACACACACACACACACACACACACACACACACACACACACACACACACACACACACACACACACACACACACACACACACACACACACACACACACACACACACACACACACACACACACACACACACACACACACACACACACACACACACACACACACACACACACACACACACACACACACACACACACACACACACACACACACACACACACACACACACACACACACACACACACACACACACACACACACACACACACACACACACACACACACACACACACACACACACACACACACACACACACACACACACACACACAAGAGAGATCAAACCACAGGATCAGATAGAAGTGCAAGGACCAAAACCCTGCCAACTGGCTGTCACCGTACAGGCTAAAATTCACTGGTGCCTTTGAATCATACACATCAATAATAAGCTGGGACTGCAGACTACCGGACCGCCACAGTCATGAGCCGTGCATATTTTGCCTACACCAACTTGACTAATACAGACCTATCAGTTAGTAATCTCACCTGTCGGTAGCTACATAGATCTTGCTGACAACGTCAAACAGGAAAGCCTTCTCCATTCCGGAGTTCTGCGCATGAGGAGACAAACGTTGCAGTGCCAGGGGGCGGAAGGACACGATTTTCAGATAGCCCACATCCACTGTCAATCACAGAGGATGCACCCAGTGTAGCATACAGTTGGTGCTGTACTGCACGGTACTGTGCCCGTGCAGTATGGCATGCACAGTTGATGCTACAACATACTGTGTGCTGTACTGCACGGTACTGTGTCCGTGCAGTATGGCGTGCACAGTTGATGCTACAACATACTGTGTGCTGTACTGCACGGTACTGTGTCCGTGCAGTATGGCGTGTACAGTTGATGCTACAACATACTATGTGCTGTACTGCACGGTACTGTGTCAGTGCAGTATGGCGTGCACAGTTGATGCTACTGTATAAGTACAAATTTTCGTTCACGAAATCTTTCGTTACGCACTAAATTTCGTTTTTGGCCGAGGTCTTTCACCCCGAACGTTCAGAAAAAAACTTAGTTATTTCGTACCCCCTAACGAATATAGCGAAAGTTAATTCCAAACGAAACTTTGTACTTATACAGTACTACATACTGTGTACTGTGCTGTACTTGTCAGGACAATACACTGAATACAGTGTGTGCAGTCTATCACAACAAACCAGACCGTATAATCAGTAGCACTCTGCCAATTTACAATGGGTGCTAGGAAAATAAAGGAATGCATGTGTGGAGGCTGGACATACCGATATTAGAATGTTGAGGAGGTTCTCGAGAGTTGGCAGCTGTGGAATGAGCTTCTGCACGACTTTACTGAATGCCTAGGAAGACAGAACAGAACATATAGTACAGCAGTCTAGTGATCACATCACATCATTAACACAGTGCTTTAGACTACTACCGGTACTTAGCTTGCAGAAATCCCTGAACACACAAGCTTGACATGGTACAGGTAGTCCTGCAGGCACACCCAGCTGCCCATTGCCCAAGAGTGATCTCAAAACAGTGGCAGCAAAGATTCGACAGATGAACCATGCATCCAGCAATCGGGCAATGCAGATAGGTGGCTGGGTACATGCCTAAGGTAATAATTATGTGTGAGTAAAAGGACGGGGTGTCTCGCTATTGGGTGATGCTGTTACGGCGTGTGAGTATTTCACCAGACCAGCGACCGTGTTAAGCGATATTTCAATATGGGCCTCCAATTTGAACCGAGCTAAACATGAGAACCGTCGAGCTCAGTCTTCGATAGGGCCAGATAGATCATCTTTTTTCCTATATTTAATATACTTTAAAAATTCGACGAGGAGACAATAATTTTAATATGGCAATAAGTAGGACGAGCTGAAGCGACATTTGGATTACTTTATTTACAATGTAAGCGATGGAGACGATGCAAGAAACAACCTAAAGGGTAAGGAAAAATACATGTAAGAAGAAAAAGGCAATGGAAAAAAAGATGATTCGAACAAGTTTTCGTACAACACTCTTCAGGAATCACCGTTGTACTAAAGAACAAAGGAAAAACACTTATCACGCTTAGTTCTTACTTGTATACCCTTGTTTTCTGCACACTTTTGTGAGAAATCGCACCTCGATATTCCAGTGCTGTCATTGTATCGTGTCACCCTACCTTGATTGCTATATTATTTCCTTTGTTCTCATTTTGTTCTTTAGTACAACGGTGATTCCTGAAGAGTGTTGTACGAAAACTTGTTCGAATCATCTTTTTTTCCATTGCCTTTTTCTTCTTACATGTATTTTTCCTTACCCTTTAGGTTGTTTCTTGCATCGTCTCCATCGCTTACATTGTTAATAAAGTAATCCAAATGTCGCTTCAGCTCGTCCTGCTTATTGCCATATTCTTTAAAAAGTATAAAAAGAATTTTTTGTGAGGCAGGCATCAAAAATCAGGATTAGTGGTGTGTCATCTCCAGATATTTTACTACTCCCTACTTGTAACACCTGACACTTGAAGTACTAAGTATACACCAATCAAACTCTGTGCAGCTCGTACATACCTCAAATATGGAGTGGTCGTATATACTTGTCAGATAGAAGCTGTGCGCACAAAGACACACACACACACACACACACACAAATCAGAGGATAAAAGACAATGTGTGTGGTGAGGTGAGAATACAAACATCAGGCAAAGAACGGAAATTGTAGACACTGTAGACGCACAGCCAGTAACTTCACCTGCTTGCACACACCATGCCATATTTCCAGAGAAAAGATCAAGATACGCTAGTTACAGTGCTATGAACTGCATATTACGCTTCCTTCTGACAGGCAAACGAAAACATTATGAAGCTGTGAAGTAGAAATACAAGCAGTCCTCATCATGAACGGAAATAAAATACTTTATCAGAGAGATTCAGGTAGAGAGCCAAGGACGAATTATAAGAAGAAAAGATTGATTGATTGCCAGTTAGGACTAGAATGTCAGTACCGTTGGTCAGTGTCGTGCAATGTTATCGCATGAGCTGATTGTAAAGTAACTGGTGGTGTTAGTGGATAATAGGGAGGTTTAGTTCCCACGTAACGGAAACGCGTACGTGGGTGATACACGTAAAGTGGATGAAGGGCATCCACGTTGCAATGTTGTGTTTAGTCACACGGAACAAACAAAAGCATGAAGCGAAAGGCCCAAACCTGGTCAAAGGACGAAGCTACCCGGGCCTAAGAAGCTCATCCAATATTTTGATTTCGTGCTTCGGAAACTTCTTCAGCTGAGCACCCTCACAGCTCGCACAATGCGCTCCATTCTGATTTTCACCCACGTTCTGGCGGAACGTGGGTGAGCCTCCATACACGGTATGTCGTGAATCAGAAAACGTCTGTACGTGGGTCACTGAGTATCACGTGGTACACACACGTAAAGTACCCACGGATTACGTGGGACTAAACCTCCCTACTATAGCGTAACTTGTAGCTCTTTGGTCCCCTTTTCTTCCTAATTTTTTTCAGACAGACTGCATACATATTCCGATCCAAGAAGATCTGTGACAAATCGCTTTGATCAATGGGCTGTACAAGTACACCGAACATTTACCTGAGGTGAATGGCGTCCAAGCCAGAATCTGACAGCTCATCTGTTGCACGCTGGTGAATGTCACGCTGGGTTTCTGGAAGGACGCAACGAAACACAGACGTCAAATACATGAAAGGGAACTGAAAGTGGACATGCCCACATCAGTCTTGATTCTTGAACCAACAAAACAAAACAAAACAAAAAAAGACTAGCTGCAAGGGTGAAGCAAGCTGAGAGAAGAGAGCATACACACAAAATACAATCATACCTATCCGATGATCGTCTGTCAGGCCATCCACTTTGTGAATAAATACTTCAAACTTGATATTGGGGTTGACCTGATAGGCCTTTGACACAGTAAGATGCAGCTTTGCGAGTGCATCCATGTAGTCATCCTACAAGGAACACACACACAAACAAACACAGGAACTTGATGATGAAGCAAGCGGACAACTGTTGGAATGCATGTATACAACCCCTGAATAGCCACCTCCAATGGTAGAGTATATCAGGGGGAAACGTGCAGTTTAGCATAGTTTTGCCAAACGGATGCCGGAAGCAGACATGAAATTGTGACTCACCTGGGCATCAATGACAAATACTAGTGCATTGCAAGATCCAAAAATCATCTCTGAGTCGAAGGCCGGGTCGAAGAAGTCAATCTGACCAGGGAAGTCCCAGATCTGAAACAAGTCAAATACGAAAACAATCAAGTGACAAGTTCCAAACACTGCCCCCCCCCCCCACACACACACATGCCTCTTTACCAAGCCCTGCTACTTCAAAGTACATACATCTAACGCAGAGCACACCTAGGCAAAGACGATACCATCACAATCATGCAGTGCTAATGCTGAATGAACATGACTGTAGATGAAGGGCAAAAGACCCAAAATTTCATCTAAATTAGTTCTGCAGAAACCAGACAATCCACCTCTCTGCACCCCGAATGCAGAGCAGTAATAATCCGAATTATTACAGAATGCTTTTAAAAATCCATCACAACCACGATGAAGAAAACGATGAACGATCTGAAAAATCCACCGACAATTCTCCAGTGCTTCCCCGAAGAAAGACCCAAAACCATTCCTACGAATACAGACTGCAAAGGCTTACCTGGAACTGGACGAACGAACTGTTGGAAATGTCTGGTGTCGACTACAGAATCAAGGCAAGTAACTACTTGAGATCACTAACTGGTGCAGTCAAACCATGGCGCTAGAGGCCATGCACTACATGCAAAACTGGCCTAGCCAAAGAGAGACTTGCTGGAACATCGACTATGTCCATGCAGGTAAAACGTGTCAGCAACAAGCCATGGGACATGTCTATAGCAATCCTTGAACACTGGTGATCTCTGAAATCAAGGTGACTCTTCCACAGTCTACACATTTCGGTGCAAAAGAAAGAAAGCGGTCTAACAGACTAGCCCAGGTGATTGCCAAAACCAGGTGGTCTCGCCTGACCAGACTCACTTGGTCACATCACTGAATGTCACACAATATCATTCACACATAAGTTACATGTACTGCAGATGCAGATGCAGAGTTCCATCACTATTTAGTCGACTTCATGTAAGACGGCACATTTGCGTGTTTGTTGTTCGACTTAGCACAACCAAACCCAACCATAACAAGTACACGCAGCTGTATCATACACAGAACAAAACAGACACTGCACACGTCATGGCACTGGACAGGGCAGGATACCGTCTTTGACAATCTTGCTGGTGCTCTCCAGAAACAGCGTTTCATTCGGCGACATCTTGTGGAACACCACCTTCTGAATTGATGACTTGCCACTTCTGCAAAACATACGCACCGGCGGACAAAGAGCAATTTCAGAATGCAGATCCGTACCCATAGGCAAGCTTAGAATGCAGCGTTGCTGGGGTGACATAACAAACGCAATCTGTGTTGTAACTTGTTACAATCATTTAGGTACCAGCACATGTATGTACAGTCTGTATCGGCTATAGCGCACCCTTTTGATTTCCGTGATTTTATCACTGTAACCGATGCATCACACTATGCGATACGATCGATTGTTTTCTTTTTTTGATCGACACATGAAAGGCAAGGAAATACTTCCAGCTAGCATGGCGTTTTGACAAATGAGCATGCTGCATAGTTGACAGTGCCCGCATTTCCATTAAAAAAATCTGTTATGTACATGTACATGTATCACTATAAAAATAAGCAACGTGAAGAAAGTAAAAAAAATAGGGCCTTTGATATTATTGCTACATGTATTTTAAAGTTATCACTATAGCCGATAACAAGAGTCCATAACCCCCCAGAGTGTGCAACTCCTGGTTGGGGTCTGGCGCAACGAAATCCAAACATTGCGTCATCCGGTCCTCGGGCAAGCATGGGCGGATGGGGCCATGATATCTGGTACATCCGGCGGGGGTAGCAAGCCACGGAAGTGTCACGTAAAACGTTTGCTCCACGGGCTATGCAGTGTCAGCAGAACGGCTTTGATTTCACGGTCACAGAATTTTTTTATTTGAAGAGAGTTTCTCTGCTCGTTGTCTGAAAAGCTTGTAATAATTGTATTGGGAGAGTTCGTGACTCCGGGATAGCAAGAATAGGCATGGATAATTATAGATTTACAAGATTTGATGGAAATAGCTCTTGGCACACGGCATGAAGACCCGATCGAAGTAGATGTGCTTCAACCTGCTCCTCAGTCCCATTTTGGTACAAGTAGTTCAACTGGGATGGTGTCCTCCACCATGTGTAACCCTCCTGATCCTACTCTTACTCCTGCTCCTCTTCCTGCCCCTGGTCTTGCTCCTGTTCCTGCTCCTGCTCGTCGCAAGAGGAGAAAGGCAAAAGTGAAAGCTTTGACTGCATCGCAGAAGAAATCGATCATTCATGCCCTGGAGAAGATTGATTTGGAGCAGTTATCCAGCGATGTTTCCAGCATTGTCTCTGCTGAGCGCCATATGGTGCTGTTTCCAGCACGTCTCCAGAGTTTCACGGCGAACGGATGCTGGAAGTCCCTTTGTAGTTTGCTTGTGAAGAATTACGTGGACCTATATGGCCAGTGCTCTGCTAGAGCTGACAAGTACTCCACTTTCCAGGTGAAATGGTCACACTTAGTCAAGTCTAATGTGGATAGCCCTGATGTGACATCATGTGGACTCGGCGAGAATGATCGTACCTCTATTGTAATGGCTGTGGGTGCCGCAGTTTGGCTGGAGTGCTGCCGTGTGATAAAACATGTGCTGAAGCCTGTGGACAACTTGGCCCAGTTGGACCCTGTCCCCCTAACAGATACACACTACCATCGCTTTTTTGGCTGGGCACTGTCCTCCTGCATTGGTGGTTTGAAGAGAAAAGCCTCTGCACAGACATCCGGATCACTGAGTGGAAATGAAGAGAATGAGCTGGTGTTGCTTCGTTCTCTTTGCGTCAGCAATTCAGAGAAAGATGAAGCCAGCATTCCGGAGTCGCTTTCCATTCGTGACAAAGGACATATGAGGTTCCTGAAGGAGGAGCATATGGAGTTTGCTCGTCTGGCCCTGCAGAAGATTTATTCTGTTGTTAACTACGATGCCTACTCAACGTATGGCAATGATTTAGTCAAGGTTGCTTCTGCATGTATTGAGCATGACAAGACATTACCCAAGAGTCTTATCTCCTCAGTCCAGACTACACTTGGCATAGACAAGTATGAGGATCAAGTGATCATTGCCGTGGCCCACAAGCTCGTCATGAAGGTCACGAACGCAGTGTGCGGAGAAGTCATTGATGCGGCTGAGCAAAACCAGATTCTGGAAGATGGGAAATCTTCCACCAGTGGTCTCAATCTACGAGACCGGCTCCATGTTGGTAATGCTTGAAGGACGTCACTATCCTTGCGTTGTCAGGACTTTCCACACAATCAATGAATGCATGTAAGAGGGCAGTATCTGCCTGACAGGTTCGTCCCCTTGAATAGCCTCATTGTTTCTATTATTTGAGGTGGGTTCATCCCCTTGCATAGCCTCATTTCTTCTTATTATTTGAGGTGGGTTTATACCCTTGAATAGCCTCATTTTTCCTATTGTTTGAGGTAGGTTCGTACCCTTGCATAGCCTCTTATTTTCTTATCATTTGAGGTGGGTCCATCCCAAGTGACTGAAGCCATTGATGCATCTATAGAGCATGTGCACCATTGTATATATTCCTTTGCTTTTTTGCATGCGTCCCTCCTGGAGAGTTGGGCGTGGTTGTGCGCATCACTTGCTGTCCTTTGCATGCTTGTCCGGTGGTTACCGCGATGGGCCTATGCCACATGTGCACTGCTGTATATATTCCGTTGCTCTTTTACATGCATCCCTCCTAGAGCTGTATATATTCTGTTGCTCTTTTGCATGCATCCCTCCTAGAGCTGTATATATTCTGTTGCCTTTTTGCATGCATCCCTCCTGGAGCTGTATATATTCTGTTGCCTTTTTGCATGCGTCCCTCCTGGAGCTGTATATATTCTGTTGCCTTTTTGCATGCGTCCCTCCTTGAGGGTTTGGCATGGTTGTGCACGTTAGTTCGATGTAGTGTTGGGAGAAGAGAACATTCTTCCCATTTGGCCCACTCATCATGAAGCGGAGTGATGGTCAGTGCTTCTTGTGCGAATATTCACTCATTGCATAAAGGCCAAGCTACATACATGCAGTTGAGATGATTTGGTTGTGTGAGGATACTACAGTGTGTCTTATTTATTACCTGAGTGCATTATGCTGGCTTGTGACTCTTAGTCTTATTGAGCAACTAAAAAAAAACATCAGAGAGCACTGCGAACCTACCGTTACCATGTGCCAAGGGGACAAAACAATCATCATACACTGTTGTGAAACAGATGAGAACAAGAGTCCATACCCCCGTATTATAGGGGGTTATGGACTCTTGATGAAAGTCATTGGCAGACTCATCCTTTCTCGCACAGTCCATCACAACACACAACAAAACAGGCACAAAACAATGAGGTTTGCCGTAGATGAAGCCGAAGCTGTAACACCATGATCCTTGTAAACATATGGAATACATACAGTGGTGCACACGTATCATAGGCCCCTCGTGGAAACAACTGGACAAGCATTCAAAGGGCAGCGAGTACCGCACACAACCACGCCAAACCCTCAAGGAGGGACGCTATGCAGGCTATGCAAGGGGACGAACCCACCTCAAACAATAGGAAAAATGAGGCCGATTCAAGGGGACAAACCCACCTCAAACAATAAGAAGAAATGAGGCTATGCAAGGGGACAAACCCACCTCAAATAATAGGAAAAATGAGGCTATTCAAGAGGACAAACCCACCTCAAATAATAAGAAGAAATGAGGCTATGCAAGGGGACGAACCCACCTCAAATAATAAGAAAAATGAGGCTATTGAAGGGGAAAACCCACCTCAAACAATAAGAAAACACGAGCTCCTGAAAGGTGACATGCCTGTCTGTGCTTACTTCTTCCTACGTAGTGGCACACTTTCATAGTCAAGTGCAGCATCACGGTAGTCCTTGCCACTTGCATGGACTGGATGAAGGTTGCGCTGCAAAGCCAAAGATGCGCGGGCTGTACTGTAATTAACTGCAGACAAACGGCCTCCGGCAGAATGCTTAAGCTGGGAAAACAATGTCTCCACAGCACTGCCCGATACTCTCACTGGCACAATGTAGTATCCTGGATGACGTGTGACATAGTCCTCACAGAATTCCACGAAGCCAAAGCACATTATCCTGAGGAGGTCCCATGTTTGCCACGACAAGAATGAGGTCTGCTTTGGAGAGGAGGCAGTGAAGGCTGGGTCCAGTAAAAGTCCATTCAGCCATGACTCAAAGAATGCATACCCTGACTTGATGGACTGCAGTGGTGTACATGTGGGGCTGCGTACTGGAACATGGGAGAGTGTGCCTTCCTCAAATAGTTTGCTGCAAGCAAGAAGGTACTGCCGGGATGCTTGAACATTTGCTACATCAGCAGGATGGCTAAGGCAGTGCACAGCAAGTTCGGTCAGAACTTTCTCCTGCTGCATGATTTTGGCTGGCAAAACATTCAACTTAGTCCAGGAGTCCCTATAAACAAAGTTCTTACGGAGATGTGGCACATCGCGAGGCTCGCCTGCTCTCATCTTGGCACACTCCCGTTGGTACATGTCTATAATAGTCTGCCATCCAAAAGGAACACCTTCCTGGGTGACAAATGCCTTAGCTCCACCACGAGACGACGAGCTCAAAGCATTAACCATGTTTTTGAGCTGGTGGGATGGGCAAATGATGAAAAATAGTCGATGATTTGCCCAAACTGGATGTTCCACCGAGGCCCTTATGTCATGTCGATTCGGACCCTCCTCCTCTTGCATGCCGAATGAACCACTTTTTCCCATCATAGACTTGATCATGGCCATGTTCGTTGAAGCACCATCACAGACCAAAGCACTGACCTTGAAGTCATACGCATGGAAAAGGCGCAGTGTATCCATTACACAGGCCAAAGTGAACTTGGCATCCAGAGTCTTGGCAGCGGTGTAGTAGGGCCCAATGATATCAAAACTTCCCGACATGTCCCGCCATAGGGTCTGAAGTATATACTCAGTGCGGTCCGTTTTCTCATCCTTCAAGTCTGTATATACATCATGGAGGCTGGACAGGTCATCACTGGTCATGGACAGACCATATATCTGCTGACTTTTTGAGTTCCACAGAACTTTGGAAACAACTTTGACCTCGTCAAAGACCATCACACCATCTCCGGTGGGGACTAACCGCTGCTCAGCTTCGGCCACCTTCTTGAAGTTACTGTACTTCTGCAGTTGGAAGACCATGTTGTCTTCACACCACCCGGGGTTATCCAAATGTGCTCCCGTAAAATGCTTCAAAGAGCGCACACTTGGTAGTTGCAAAATCCCAAAAGACTTCAAGGCTTCATAGGCTGCGGGACTGCGGGTGAAGACGGCCAGAGCAAGCCGGTAAGTTATCATACTCCACCTGTTGCCCTTGGACCCAGACGCGTTTTGCTTCTGGTCCTTGTTGAACTGCTCCTGGGCCACAACATCGGAATGCCAAGCAGCCCGTAAAATGTCGGCCTCATCTCCAGCATCCTCAAAAATTCCCTCCAGGTCTGGTGCAAAGCTGGAACTGATGTCCTGGCATACAGCAGACAGTTCCGAAGACTGTTCCTCACATAGTTCAAAGTCAAACTGTTCCAAGCGAGCCAACTGCCGCTTCGTGATCCGCTGAACCTCTGATTTATTGCGAGCACGCACCGAATGGCTGTGAGGGGACAGATACTTCAGGGGCACAGTGGAGGATGCTGACACTCTTGCAGCCTTGTCATCTTGGTTTCTTTCAGTTGCCCTTTTCACCAGCCGCTCCAGGTCATGTTGTAGTGCTTTGCAAGCCTTGCATGGTACAATGGGGGAGTTCTTCTCCTCAAGTGGCAAAGTTCGACCTGCTTTGTGCCATACAGAACAGTGTTCGCTGTCAAAGCGAACAAAAGGAAACGTCCACTTCCTCAAATTCTTCGTGTGGAAACGTACTGATTCGAATTGCTTCCCATAGTCAGCTATCCCAGGGCAGAACTTCATGTCCGATGAAGGTAGCATACTTTCCAAATACGGAGTAAGCGTATCCAAATCATCGGCACACTCTCCCTCCTCCGTTCGCCCACCAAAGAGACACTCGAAAGTGAATGTTCCTGCTGGGTTCACAACCAGACGGTTCAAATTGACGGGTGTTCCATTGCATGTGAGAAGCACAGACTTCGAGCAATAAATCTCTATCCAGGTGCTGGAAGAATTAACAATTTCCAACACTCGACAATCGAGAGAAGAAAATGAGGAGCCCAGATCGAGCAAAAACTGACGAATATCGTCCACAGAGACACTGCACTCCGGCGACCATGGGGAGCGCTTTGCTTTAGGTTCAACAGTGGCCATTGTCTTATCGGAGAGACACTCAAAAGAGAAAACTCTTCGACAACTCTAAAATAATTCTTTGTGTACTTGAGCCTTTCCAGGCGTGTTACGTACAACACCTGGCCGTTACGTAAAGGAAGACCCCAAATTGGGCAAACGGGCGAAGTAGGTCCGGGCCAAACTTCCCATTTCGTCATAGCTACTCACTACATGACGTATGAAGTTTGGATTTCGTTGCGGCACTGATTTGTGCTGAGAAGGATCACGAGTTGCACACTCTGGGGGGTTATGGACTCTTGCCGATAATAATATAGTGTGTTATGCATGTTTTGATTCTTTGCTGCCATCATAATATCCGATATATCATTTAATACATCCGATAATATTGGTTATAGTGATATTTGTACTGGACAAAATACGTTTTGCTTTTGAAATTTCGTACCAATATCACTGTAGCCGATATATTCTTATGTCCGGTCACTCTATAGCCGATACAGACTGTACTAGTGATGGATGTTGTTACGACTCAGTGAGAGGGTATGCTGGCTGCATGTGCACCTGTTACATCAAACCGTGCAGTGGAGTCCTGCCCACACGAGCCATTTGAAAATCAGGCACAATACCAGGGATTGTGCACCACGGCTGAGTACATACTAGTACTCTTGTGGCAACATGCATAATGCAAGCCAGTGTTGGACTATCCTCCACATCACTACCTGCACCGCTGATATCCTATTGTGTCAATATCAGGCTGCATGAAGCATCAAACCTCATCCTGATGCAACTTCTTGCTGCCAACTTCACTTGACTGACTTGCGATTGGCATCCAGAACACACGAGAAAAAACGTTGACGTTCTTACCACTAGTACTGCTCTGCTCAGCACAGACTGTGATTAGCCAGGTCGGAGGTGAGAATGTTGCAATTAATTAACGAAGAGTTCTTAGTGCCTCTTCAACATGACCACCATCAGTGACACCCAAGCTGTGCTACTGTCTGGGTTTTCGGTGCCCTGGAAACAGAGCGAACTGTAAGTTGAATCCCTGGTGATGTTAAGGCCGCGGGGTATTAGTTGATATGGGGTGAATCTTTAAAACCCAGTGTATTTAGCAAAAAAAGGGGTTGCTTTCTTGCAGGCTCGCCAAGTCACACGTTCGATGGGCTTCTCCTGTATCTGGCTCGCAATCATGTGCCAATCAAGTGTTTGTCAAGTGGCAAGAAGAAGTGCGAGTTGCGCAAACAACCTTTCTACAGGTAATGTCTAAGGAGTCGTCGCAAAAGTTTGTTGTCGTCCCTGAAACAAACAGTCAAACACCGTTTATTGAGAGGGGGAGCCAAAGCCGCAAGTCGACCAACACTGGACATGTACATGTACATGCATACGATTTGCATCATTCAGCATTGCAGGCTGTGTTCAATTCGAACGGGGGGTCCGAGTAGAAATGAACGCATTGTATCCACCCTTATTCATGGAATGATCATAAAAATTAATGATGAGCACAAGGGCTGAAAACTTTCTTCCAAAACAAAAATAAACAAAAAACAATTTAACCACATGACCCAGAGCCATGATTATCGTGGACAGAACGAACAAAATCTCACCTTCTTAATCCCATGAGCATAATTCTAGGCTTGTTCTCGAAGGAACTGCCTCCAGCTACTGCCATTACGTCATCATCACCTCCACCATAACTGCCAAGATGAAAGCAATACATGTATGAACAGAACAACTTGGTATGATAAATGTCACGTAAGCAGTTCGTTCCGCATTTTGAACACTGCATCTTACTCATACTCCCCGGGAAATGATCCAACGACGCTATAGCTCCCATACTCGTCATCATAGGACGACTGTGAAGCACACAGAACGTAGAACACTCTTAGAAACAGGCCTTCTTGCAGAAAGCAATCGAAATTCTCAGCTCTCTTCTCACCATGGCCAATCTAAAATAAACACGTTAGTGCACTGGTTCCAGGGAATGCAGCATCAAAACACTGCCTGTCGCAGCGCACAAGATGAAACTACGAGCCAGAATTCAAAAGCGAGTTGTTTCTCCCCAAACAATCAGAACAAAGTTTGTATTGATCGACGTGACCCTACTCGATATCACTTCAAACATGGAAAAATGTGTCTGCCCGCTGCCCGATCCCCCGAGTAGAGTAGAGCTACCGGTACAAAAAAGTACTGCTGTGTTACGTAGGACTAGGAGTCATGTGATCAGCAAACCATTCAAGAGCGACGTCATGCATACAAATTACAATGATCATGCATGCAATGCATATCGGACAATCGCAGGGTTTCAAGTACATGTACAGGTTTTGTAATTTAGTAATTACTTCAGTACTGATGTGACGAGTAATGTCGGGCACTGGAGTAGATTGTGTTGAGCTTCATCATTATGCCCCTTACAACTCAAATAACAAAACTATCTAAGCAGAACTTACTAAGTTTAGTCTCTGGAGGCCAAATACGTGCCACAATGCGAGCAAGTTTGACAGATACACCGCGGAGTCGGACTGAGGACATACACTACACTGAATGTAGTAAGTACTCAACTCAAGGCAACCTTGATTTGTGGTTGGGCTGAGGGAGGGCCCAGCCCCTGTTACAGTGTGTCACATTCAGTAGCTGTCAATTATATGAATACTAGTACGTCACCACAAGATGCCATGCAACATGCCATGCAACATAACTCGTCATATATATATATAATAAGCCGGTTTTTGAAGTGACTGGAAGGCTTGCACATGTGGTTACAGATACAGACTGGTGTATGATCAAACATACACTAATCACTATACCTTTGCTCATACAACATTTTAAACACCCATCATGGCAACATGAGCCTGAGATGGCTGAGTATCAGCCTCAGGCGCCTGCAATAAAAAAGGTACCTAACCCGTATACTAGTACTCTTGCTACAGCGTAGGGCAGGATGTGCAGAACTGTGTGATGTAGACAAAAACAAAACAAAAACAGTCTGATACCCACATTGCCATTCACAGAACGTTTAGAGAGATTGATTGCCTCACAACATAAATAATGTGCTCATGCGGTCCGGCTAGTAACCCATCATACTCCTAGACTCCACACAGCATTATTGGTGCACATTGACAAAACAAACTAACGCGCAGCTGAGTCCCAGCTGAGGCAACCACAATGTAAGCAAGCCATAGTACACAGTGCAGAGCTGACGCGTAGTTTTTGTAAGACGAGATGCTATCATTATCAACCCAGCTCCGATGCGTCCTCACGTGCACAATCACTGAATCAGTACCTGTTGTTATAATACAGTATGTGTACTTGTAACATAAGAAGAAGAAGCATTACATTTCAATGCTTACGAGTACTAGTATGTTGGCTTTGTTTGCGAAAAGAGGCTAAACTACCAAAATTACACTGTAAGTCAACAAAACTGTCCCTCCAGAAACTTGCGGAGACATTTCGGAAATATCGCGGAAAAAGTTGCGAGGTAAAATGCCACAAATTGCGGGGAATATTGCGGATTTTGTCAAATATTGCGAGATTATTGTGGTAAAATTGCGGAAATTGCGGCCGATTTTGGTACTTGTACTGTAGTGGTGCACGATGTACAAGTCGTACAGCATAAATCGTGCATGACAAAACAGAACGTGTGCTGCGCTGACTGTGTTCAACTGCCTGACAGGAGCTTGCAAGACAGCTTTCCTCCATCCTCGGACAACACTCGACGCGAGCATTATTTTGTGACTTGTCAGCCGCTGATTTGCCCAGAAACTTCTCCATTCTGGTGTCGATCTCACAAGTAAACTACTGACGAGCTTGAAGAACTAAACAACATCGAAGAAAGACCCGAATATCGCGGTTGCTTTTCGAAATATCGCGGTGCTTTTCAAGTATCAAGGACAGTTTTCTACAATAACGCGGATGATTTTTCAAATATCGCGGATATCACGGACTTTTGTTCAAATCGCGGAAAACAACGCGGCCGCGGAATCGCAAGTTCCTGGAGGGACAGACAAAATTAATATTCGGCGCGTATTTATTTTCGGCGTGGTCATGTTTGGCCGAAAATTTGTTGCGACCGAAGTTTTGTTTTGCAAGGTTCAGTGTGTCTGTGTATACATACATGTTCAAGCTGTATACACAGGCGGGAGCAGTACAGGCCGAAAATTTGATGCGGCCAAAATGGGTTTTAGCCCTGGGAGGTTGAAATTAGAATGGGCCGAACATTTGTAGACTTTCAGTAGTTACAACTCTTCTTTTTTCGAGTTTCACACACTACCGTAGGCGCCAACCATAGCCATACAAGTAATAATATATTATCTAACTACTACTTCGTACATTATAAATGGCCTGTGATCACTACCGCCTCTAGCTACATATAAATAAATACCGGAGGATGCACCCAGTGTGCTGACAGTGCTCAACACTACGGAGGCAATGCGTATCACACAGAACAACAAGGGCAAGCAAGGCTAGTTTGTCGCTATTCTGAGTTTCATGCTTAATCATCAGACAAATGTACAAATAATTAAAAATTCAACCAGTAAAAAGCTACTGTTTCCCATCTGCTTTGCCAGTAGTAGAACAACTGTGACATGTGCAAGTGACCCGGAGCTGAGCAATCTCAGTCATTAGCAGAAAACTATGATCCGTGACGACACACTGGTACACGGTGTGATGTACTAGTAATCAGCACATGGGTCACACATCTGACAGCTATTGAGTATTGGATATGCACATCGCTTCACCTAGCTCATAGGCACACTACTCCAGGAGGGTTTCTGACTTTCTGTATGGTTTGGCTAACTGACCCCGGCAGTTGACATAGCCGTTGCCAGACACAGTATGGAGTTTAGGCAGACTCCGGGGGCTGTCAAGTTTGGTGGCCGCAGGTAGTGCGCATTTTGACTTGAAGCCACATTCAGTGTGGGCAGCAGGGAGTCACCTAAACCTGGTGTAGGTACGTCTCTCTGGTTGAATGAGTAACGATCACCGTCCTGGCAGCTCAGTTGATTCTCCTTGAAATACTGTAGCTCTGCTGCAAACTGCAGTGGTTGGCATATGAAGACTGTCGCCAGCATAAAAACACATTGCCAGGGTTGCAAGAGCTTGCTTGGAGAATGTTGTATACCTCCTTGGCCTGAGACCTTCTGGCTGAGAACAGATTGGCTGCACACCACTACTACATAGTACATGTACTAGTAGTGCGCCAATTTACACCTGCATGTACCGCTGCATGTGATCCATTCAGCAATACCAATGTTATCCATATGTCCTGGGTCGCAACAAGGCACTCATGCCAAGGATCGGCAACATCCTGGCCAGCAATAGTACGAGCCTGTAAGGCCTGGCGGACCAGATGCTGTAAACATGCACTGGACTAGTTCCTTTGGAAAGGCAGCCTATGGGTTGGAGTCATCATCACACAGCAACGTAGCCGGCTCATCGAGATGGAATTGGAAACCCTACGAAACACTGCCGCTTGCTAGCATCACAACCATCAGCGGCGTAACAATATGGATATCAAGAGGACAGCATGACAGCAGGTGAGAACAAGGGATGCTTTCGCAGATGCACAAGTACCATCTTGATTATCACCACGATAGGGCGTCCACACATTCCAGCAGAGCTCTACAATGATGAGATAGGCATAGCGCATCAGCCATGGCCAGCCAGCGTAGGACACCAGAAATGGCAGCGTGTGGAAGTACCACGAGTAGAAGGAGTAGTGGAGACTGCGGCAGAAGCATATTCCAACAAAGTTTGACACAAATATGATTGCAAGCAGTGCCTGTTTGTCCGATGGCCGCGTAGAAAGCCAGCGGCGGTGTGCGCAGAGGAAGACCAGTAGCGCCACATGAAATGTTAAGAGGGAGATTTGGAATGCACGGGAGAAGAAGATATCTTTCGGTAGCCACTTGAAGTTGTGTGAGAGGAAATGGAAAAACTGCCTGTCCAGTTCAAAGGAACGGTGTACGTAGGAGAGAGGGTGCTTGATTAGAAACACTCCACCAGCAAAGATCTGCAGAACAGCAGCGGGCACAGACCACCGGACCAACTTTGAGAAAGATCCAGCTGCGCAGAAAGCTGCTGCGGCCATGCCTGGCGCAAACAGCAGCGCGGACATCTTGATGGACACGGCGGTAGAGTAGGCAAGCAAGCCCAATGTCCATCTGGAGTGGCGTACTGCCAGCCACATAGCCATGTATACAAACAGCATAGCCCAGCAGTCATTGAACAGACCATTCACGTACACGTTGCGGCATCGCACCGTGAACAGAAACATGCAGCAGGTCACGAATGGCTGCGGAACGTACCGCCAGTACAAGGACGTCACAAAGGTGGAGGTGAGCACTTGAACAACAAGAAATAGAGCCTGGCAGAGGAGAATGGCCTTTCCGCCGCCTGTCAGCCAGTACAGCAGCCAATGTAGCCAAACATGGCCACCGGGGTAAACCAGTGGTCCAGTTCGTCCCTTGATCTTCATGTAATCATGCTCACCAGCTTCAATCATCTCAATCTGGTCCATGTACGCTTTCCAATCAATGGCTGCAACGACAAGAAGACAAGAGCAGGTTTTTTAGGTTCATTGCGGACATGGCACTGAGACACTTCCGCCATAGCCGGTCTCGGCGCCATTGTTTAGCTGTACTCACAGAGTGACTGCAGCTAGCACATCTCTTAGCTTTGACTAGTCAGCACTTCCGAAATGCAGTGAAAGTCCACTGGGTTTCAAACACATGCATACAGTCATTGCCGCGAGTTTCTCGTTGTATGTCGGATTTTAGCACTTTTCAGTTTTCACATGTCCCAGTCAGTCAGTTGAGTGATGTGACGAACTCCGATTTTCACAATCATTTGTTCGCATACCAATTCATTGAATCGAGCGAATGTAGATGCATGTATAGCATACTCTTCACGATACACAGCGCGGCTCCATGAACTCCGATCGTGCGAGTCAAGTCTGCGCCCTGCACCAGTTCACATACCAGTGTTCCCGGGTCTGGGGCTGCACAGTGCCTGGCGCGTACTTTACTCACACGACCGGACTTCAATCAGCAGGACAGTACATGTATTCAATGAGTGGTACCCTTCGAATCATCATGCGTGCCCGGCCTAAAAAGAGCGTCCTCGTCATGGGGTTCCTGAGGCATTGCCCAGGCAATGGCAGACACTGCTGACCCAGATGAGATTAGCCCTCGCAGCGGTATTAAATTCAATCACTTTCACCATCTGGGTGTGTCTTAGCATGTTCATGCACTAGGTCTGGTGGAGTGATAGTATATTTTGGAAACTTCAAACTTGAAAATTCCTATTCAAATATTCTTGGAGCACTGTCAGGTCACCGGGAGTAAATTAGAATGAATCAATATCCTGCTCATGTTGTCCCCAAAAATAAGAAACTGATAAATACATTCCTGGCAGAACACTCCTGAATGTCACACCTGGCACCAGCTGACTGAACTAGATACATGTACCGGTATGTCACGGTTTTACTTTGACAACACTGGAAATGATGATGCAATCATTGTACATGTACATGTATCGGCATTTGTGAACAGGTCATCTGCTTGCCTATTCTCCTGAAACACCATACAGTCGACCTACCCTTATAACGATATTTGCGTCCGACCAAGAAATATTGTTATAAGGGTAATATTGTTATAAGGGTAACTGGTTCATTCATACACATACTGTACATGTACGTCATAATGCATGAATTTAGTTCATTTTTTACACTCTTCATAGCGTCAAAAACTTATGTACATGCACAATATGTACATGTACATGGCAAGGTGCCCACTGGTGCCCCAATTGCATTTTGTCATGTCCCAGCGACTTATCAAGTGAAGCTTGCCCTACCTTGACAGTGGACTGTGCATATTCCTCGCAGGATATTGTTATAAAATGGAAAATGTCGATTGGTCAGCCCAATTTATATTGTTATAGGGGTAATATCGTTATAGCAATATTGTTATAGAGGTAAGGCATTGTATACAAAAGTCAATGGAGTGATTTGGTTTGGCAGAAAAATATCGTTATAAGGGTAATATCGTTATAGAGGTTATCGTTATAAGGGTAGGTCGACTGTATTACCAGGGTCACCCCGAAGTTCAGTCCACCAGCTAAAATCAGGCGCCTCATTTGTCTACATCATCACTAGCATGATCAGCACCCAGAGCATGTGCCAGCAATATTGTGCCTCGCATGCGAGAAATTGGCCATCGTCCTACAACCTCTCCCACTAATTGCTAGTGTCCCATCCATCCAGCATGAAGTTGGACATTAGCTCCAGTCATCTATCGAAGTGTGGTTCGGAAGAAACGTGGTACCAGAGTTGAAATATGCTCGCATGGACTGTGCGGCTCAAAACAGCTGGTCAGACTGACTTTGTGCCAGTCCCTCCTCACATTCGTATTTGTTTGAATGTGACTTGAACACAAACACATGCCTTGGACTTTATCCGGACCCTTGTTCAGCTCAATGCGCTGTTGAATGGTGCCAGCACAAGCAACAGTTAGTTGTTATGGTAGTTCTACTGTAGCATAGCTATCGCTGCACTTTAGTTCGGCCATGCAAATCTGTGGCGTGTGTGTGTGTGTATGTGTGTGTGCGCGTGCGGCCATGTGCACACAATGTACGACATACCATGTATGCCAATCGCACGAGGAACATTCAAATCTGCAAGTGCACTGGATGTGCATCTACCGACTTCCTCAAGTACTGTAAGACATGTATATATAACGAGGAAGCAAATCTAACGTTTTAACGGATGACATTTCTTCGTTATAATATGTTTCGTTGAGGCCATACTGCTTCATATATGCTGTGTGTGGATATGGCAGAATACTGCAAGATCGTTAACATATCTTCTCGTTAACCTATGAATTTTGGACAATCGTTAAATTTGCGACTCGTTATAAGAACATGTCTTACAGTATAGTTATACTTATAGCAATGAGAGCACACGCAGATGCATACAGATGATGACGTCACCATGAATCTTGAAACACAAGAACCATACTTTCAGGGGTCGCACCATGGTACAGGGGTTTTGCGAATGATCTCATGGGGGTGAGTCAACAAAACCGTTTGTGGGCACTGCGAGTCGCTAGTGCACCACTGTCACACTGTGCCGCAGCTTCGCCAAAGCGTCTCAACTGATCATAGTGATGTAATCGCATAACCTCTATAAGCTGCCCCCCCCCCCCCCCCCTCCACCTGTTGGAGGCACATGTCGCAGCATAGTCTATTTTGCATTTGTTTCCACGAACAAATGTCCCGGGTAGAAGTAAAAAGTAAAGTAAAGTTCGCACGTTCGCGTTACAACTGGCTTACAATTGTGTTCAGAAACACAACCAGCTTAGGGAAGTGTCGCTCGTGCTAGGCCACCACCATGCCTGGTTATACCAGGGTGGTAGATGCAGCACTTAACGCCGAGGGTGAGGTGGTAAGTTTCACAACTAATGCCCAACAAGGGGGTGAACCTCGTTAGCTGCATCCATGTTACCCTCACTCCGAGTAGTGAGTACCCAATTGACCGTGGGTGTCGGCGATGTTCATTGCATGCAAAGTGGTTCACCCTTGCATCACTGCATTTATCATCGCAGTATACCTTCGGCGACTGACTTGTCCTGGAGCAGCACCAGGGGCAGAAAGCTCTAGAAATCTAAGCATTATCAAGCTCCCTGGCTTTCGTCAAGGAGGTAGTGACATGTGTCAACGCGACACTGAATACGAGCATTCACAAAGTCGGTATCGAGCTGCCCCAAGAAAACTGTGAGATGCCTGGATGCCTTCTCATTGGTGATGCAGGCAGGCTTGTTGGAAAGCCAGATGATATATCCTGCAGGCGACATCTTATGGGTAGAAAAATTGCCCCGGGAGGCACCGTTGCGTCTTTCGCTTTGCGGTGTATGTTGTACACAATTTGGCGAGGTTATCTTAGACACTCCTTGTGCTTTTCAAGTGGAAGATGATTTCAGGGTTCTGATTTGGTCCTTAGACATCGATGTATGAATGAATTGAGGAGAGCTAAGCCATAGGTGATCAACAATATACCACCTATTGTACCTGACTACGATGTAGGTTTCTGGGGTTAAACGGACCCCACGCATGATTTCCGAAATAAAATTGAAAGTACAGGTCGTCCCCCGTTAATACGAGTCCGGTTAGTACATAAACCCCGTTAGTACATAAGAAATCTCAAGTCCCGGACGAAACGTGATCACTTCCATACAAATTTTGTCGGTTAGTACATAATTCGTTAGTACATAAACCCCGTTAGTACATAACATTTCTCCGTGCCCGCATGCCACCTACCTCAATAGTACATAATTATTTGTTGGTCTTTTGGCCTTCCAGTGGAGACACATCGTGTTCTAGTTTCTACTTGTGGGCGCAATTAGCTCAGAAATCAGAGTCCACATCACAAACCGACAAAGCTCTGTTTTTTTCGAGTGACTGTACACTGTACAGGCAAGACTGGGCATGTATCATGTGCACTATAGAATCGTCGCTGACTGTGACCGTTATAACATAATGTTTATGTTATATCGAGGGAATAAAGAATATCTCGCTCCCTAGTCATGGTAGCAAGAAACACTCAGAAAAGTTGAAAAAAGTGAAAAATTCTGGTACCCAAGCACGTTATGTACACTTTCGTTTAGTACATAAACCCCGTTAATACATAACATTTGTCAAGTCCCAGAGATTATGTATTAACGAGGGACGACCTGTATTAGTTTGAAACCAATCAAGAACTTCTAACCCAGACAATTTGATTACCTCTCATATCTAGTCGTTGAGGAATACCTGTAATTTCATGGAGATATCATTAAAGAAAATAAAAATATACCAAAATCCAGACCCCTGGGGTCCGTTTGGACCCCACAACCCGGAATGAGGGTTAATCGTTCTACACCCTACGGTGTCCAGTGTATCTCTGTGCATGATCAGTGGCCAGTGAGGACCTTGTACATGTAGCTGCTTACCGTGGAAGGGTCCATGGTGTATGAACATCACGTTCAGCAACAGCTCCACCAGCACAAACAAACATCTTCCACTCTCGCTGTTAAGAAGTGCTAGCGCACTTTCCAACCCGCTCCTCCAGCCCATCTCCAAGAATTCCCCGCGATAGCGCTAGGCAACCCGCGTTATCACCGGTTTCGCCCGTAGTGCTACTACATGTTTGGCCAATTGGAGTGATCACATCGCCATTACAGACTGTATAAATGGTCGATGGGTCTTCAGCACATCAGACACACGTCGAGCCTGCATATACATGTACTAGAGTACAGTAGCGCTAGCGGTTTAGTTGTAGCATTTCATGATCCTTTTCATCATCTCTTTACTCTTACTATTATATTTCTGTACAGTATCTTGTGATCCTGATCAGGCGAGCTGTGCTTCGGATTTGGTCTAAAAATACTAGCACCTATAACTAGTACGTAACACTACATTGTAATAATTATACTACAATTGTACGTAGTGTCCGTAGATACGTAGTCATCGATTTTGGAATTTTTGCCACATCGCTAGTTCGCTACTGTCTGAATCAGGGAGTACTACCAGACTACCAGAGTACAGTAAGATCGGGCGCCGAAGAACGCAGGGGCTCGAGCGCAGCCTAGGAAAGTTCTTAAATTTGATTCTAGCCAGACCGTTCTTATTCACACGCGCGCGGCGAGTCGAGTGACGTCATGACGTTTGTCATGTACATGTACATGACATGGTATTATTATTATTAGGCCACAACAAAAAGATTTCGTGTTTCCGGTCGGCACCCCCCGAAAAAATACGCCCGGTCGGTCGGAAAATTATTATTTTTTTGGTTTGAAGGTTTATTTCCCTGCTGTATTCATAGACATGAGCCAAATTGAGAAAGTTTGGATCAGACACTGGTGATACACAATATATACATATTTACACATGGAATGTGGAGTAGAATACCACCGCGGGACGCAGTAGATGTATTGCATAGTTCAAAGATTTCTGAGAATTGTATGCAATACCATTGGGTCAGCATCAATAGACGCATAGTACTGACATTGACACAAAAACATGCCTGCACAAAATTGCACGCACACTACATAATAGTACTACTAGCTACTGAAGCTACCAAAAAAATTCCATAATTTTTGAAAAAACGGACCCGGTCGGCCGACCGGAAACACGAAATCTTTTTGTTGTGGCCTTATTAACTTTTATTTTACTAGGGTGTTTCCCACAGACCTATGGTCTTCTTACGGGAGCCCCTAGGAAGGTTATGCATGAGCGAATAATACATGTACATGTAGTGCAATGTAGTACTTCTAAACTAGTGGGTGTCGTAAAGGGGAATGACTGTACATGTAGCAGTTACTGTTTACACGTGTACATGACATGTACAATGTTCCAAATTTTAAAAGTGTTCTTAAATCTGATAATTCTAGCCTGGACTGTTCTTAAATTTTGCCGGTTTTCCAGCCTGGGTGTTCTTCGGCGAGGTGTTCTTCGGCGCCCGATCTTACTGTAGTCAGTGAGTACATGTAGTAGCAAGAGTCCATGAAAACCGTTTTCATGTACTCTTGGTAGTAGACTACTGACTATACTCCCTGCCTGGTCTGCAACACTGCCAACCAGGGAGTAGTATCAAGAGTACATAACTACACAAGAGTGTGCAACTCCACTCATGGGATCTGGTTCATCGGAATTCCTAGTTCAACTGCATGGTGCGCGGCGTGCGCGATGTTTTGCAGTCTTCGGATCGCACTTTGGCCCACAAACTGGCGCCAGACGCGCAAGACGGCAGAGTGAGGGCAGAGTTTCGCGATGGGGAAATTCGATTTTAACTGACTGAAACCGGCCAAACACGAAAAAGCCGTGGAAAGGAAATGGTGGAAAACTGCGCCACTTTTCTGTTCTTTCTTTTTTCACTGACGCGTGACGCGACGTGTCCTTCGTGGTGAAGAAACATGTCCAAAAGGCAAAATAATTGATTTATTATTTCTTGTTGAGAACTGTTTCAGGAAGGAAGAGTGTAGTGACGGAGAATGGAGACTCCTGCTTCAGGACTGGACGCTACTCTTCCTGTTTCTGACGCTAGTAATACTCCCTCTCCTCCTCTTTCTCCTCGGGCTTCTTGTTTACAAGTTTGCAGTACGAGCAACGAGCAAACCCCAAAACGCCTTGCGTCTTCTTTGGGAATTTCCAAGTTTGTTCCTGCACCCAAACGGGTATTTTTGTCGTACTCAGCTTCACGAACTGAAGCCCAAGAGCCCTGCAGAGTGTCCGTTGATGATGTCCGCCGTCACCTCAACCAGTTGGGTCCGGAGTATGCTGAACTTCGTTGCTGTGAGCTGCAGCTGAAAGAGGAAGTTTGGATTGAAGTCTCTTCCTCCACTAACGTTGCAGTCTCTGCCCATAGTTCCCCAGTTCCTGTGGCAAGGCTTCTTGTCAAGAGTAATGGTGGATATGTGTTTGAGGCCCTTTTTGGTGGCTTTGTGGATGAGGGCAGCTGTTGTGGAAATTTGTCGAAGCTGAACCCACACCTCGCCTCGCTCCCTGCTTCCTCTGGATGGAAGTTTTGTCCTGGCCTTGATGACACTGATGGACAGTACAGTAGCATGCCATATGAGCCAAAGGGAATACGAGTGTGGTCCATGCCGTTTCGTCGCTTTGACTCGCATAAGTGCCAGATCTGGTTTCAAATCCCCAGGAATGCTCCAAAGGAAATGAAGGCGATGTCAACAGTGTCGTGCTCGGCTTGTAAGAGGCTGGAGAAGGAGCTGCAAGTTATCCTGACGCGTGCCAAGAGTGTTGATGTGGATGTCAAGGCAAAGCGCACGGAAACGTCTTCTAAAGCACCACTCAAGTATATGTCACCGAATAGCAGAAAAACTCGAGCTCAGCATGTCCGATCTGATCGGCGTCAATCGTCTAGGGATCTTGCAAAGTACAAGCGCCTGGTGCTTCTGTTGTCTGACAGTCAGTCTTCTGAGATGTCCAAGGCGTGCACGATAATTAGTGACAAATTCGGCAAGGAGCTCAGTGAAGCCATTAACCTGAATCCGGAGCACAGTGACCTCATACATGATGCGTGGAAGGAGGATGTGGCGGTCATTGATGCAGTTAAGAAGGACCAGAGCAAGAACAAGACGGGATTGCGTGGCAACAGGTGGAGCATGGTGACGTATCGTTTGGCGTTGGCTGTAAAGTGCCGCAGTACAGCAGCTTATAAAGCACTGAAGGACTTGGGCGTACTACAACTCCCGAGTCTTCGTTCACTCAACCACTTTACAAGTGCAAGAATTGACAAGCCAGGGTGGTGTGAGGAAGGTATTCACTACCAACAGCAACGTTACCAACAGCACCAGGAGCGAAGTGAAGCCAGCGGAAGCCTGAAGCCCTTGGGTGAAGGGCTGATCATCTTTGATGAGGTGAAAGTCGTCTCTAAGGTCCTATGGAATAGCAAGAGTGAAGAGATATACGGCCTAGCCATGACTGATGAAGATATGGCGTCTCTGAATGATATTTTCTATGAGCTTGGCAGTGTTGACAACACTAATCGCACAGAGTATGTGCTGCAGGTCATTTGGCGAGACTTGACGTCGAATTTTGATGTGTTTGGCCCGTACTATACCTCCTCCACGTCGTTGGATGCCAAGTTCACGATGGCCTGCTTTCTGCAATCTATGCAACTCCTGCATAGCTTTGGGTTCAAGGCAATTGCAGCAGTGTTCGATGGTGCTGCGACTAACTTGTCGATGGTGAAGTCTATGTTGGGAGTTCATGGTGCATTTGCGGCGGAAGGCAATGATCATCGCATTAACGCTTCTATTGATCACCCTTACTGGCGCAAACACAAGCTTTCCTTCGTGGTGTGTCCTAGCCATCAGCTTAAGAACATGATCAATGCGCTGTATTCATCCCGTCAAGGTGGTGCTAAGAGCTTCGTGACTGGAGATGGTGTGCCCTTTGGTTGGCAAAGTATCTTTGACTTGTATGACCGGGAACGTGATCGCCAGAATCGAGGTGTACCTAGAGATGTACCGAGCCTCAGGAAGAATTATGTTCATCGTGATGCGTGGACTAAGCTAAACGTGTACCCTGCTAAATTGATGCAGCAGGAGCTTGTCATTACGGAGTTGAAGTCACACTGTGCTGAGTCCCCAGCTCCACGCAATGCTTCCAGTGTGCAGGCAACGGTTGCGTACCTCCAAGCTTGCAACAAAGTATTTGAAGAGGGAGCACTCTCACACCAACGCATCTGTAGTAGCCAGTCAGCTCCTCTACTTTCAATGCAGGAGGGATACAAGTTCTTCTCCGACTGGCTGATCGAGTTGAAGAAGTCTCATCCAAACCAATCATTCTCAAGGCCTTCGCAGACTATGTTCTTAGCTTGGCAGACATGGGACCTTCTCCGCCTGATGATGTTCGGCTTCACTGAACTGTGTGCAGATTTCAATGGCCGTCATCCAGACTACTACATTGTTCCTGTTAGAGTTACCGGCAGTGCGGTCGAGACAGTGTTTGCACAGCTCAAGCAAGCTGCTGGTGGGCGTCTTTCTGCGGTAAACTATTCCACAGCACGAGCGACGCTCACTCTTCAGCGTGGTCTCCTTCCCCCTCATCCGTCCAACAAAGACTACCGTGACACTGCATTGGACCTTCATGATGTCCCACTCCTTCGGAAATAGAGCACCATAGTTTGGTTTCGTCTGCTTGCTTGTTGCCAGCCCCTGTGTTGCTGTCAAGGCTTGCCTTCTTGCTTATTAAATTTTGGGACTGCCAGCCCCTCTGCTGCTACTGCTTCTTGCTTACTTATTAAATTTTGGGACTGCCAGCCCCTCTGCTGCTACTGCTTCTTGCTTACTTATTAAATTTTGGAACTGCCAGCCCCTCTGCTGCTACCGCTTCTTGATTATTTATTAAATATTGGGACTGCCAGCCCCTCTGCCGCTACTGCTTCTTGATTATTTATTTGGGACTGCCAGCCCCTCTGCAGCTATTGCTTCTTGATTATTTATTTGGGACTAGCAGCCCCTTGTATGTTACGTGCATGTTTGTAGTGTATTTTGGGAATTTTGTGTTGCCTTCTGTGATTGGGCTGCTCATACTTCTAAGCTCATAATCATGTCGTGACCAGACTACCTGATACAATTTTATTCTGTTTTGTAAAATTGGCCTATGAAACAGATGTGATTCAGTGCTGACATCTTTGGCCACCTGTTGGTCCTTTTTCCCCCAGATGTTGGTCTGTGGTGTGTGCTTCAGACCTAAGAGACTACTTGACAATGGCTTGTGCTGCTGTCTACATGTTCGTCCGCACACTGGGCCTCCATGCATGCGTGCAATGTGCTTTGAGCAGGAAAGAATTTCACTTTGCTGGGCACAAGGTCATCATTAGGACTGTGTAGACTGTTCAGGCAACAATTATTTGCCTCATCCGCCCGTACGCACACAGCAAGAGGAACGAAAAATTGCATGAAAAAAGCAAGAGATACGAAGCATACCAAGACTACATAACTAGACAGTCTCTTGAGCATACTAGTAGTCAATATTCTCTACACCACCACCAAACATGCGCTCTACGCCGACACAAACTCTCTTACACCACCACCAACAGCAGGACATTATCAATTTGCTCGATACTGGAAATAGTTCCTTACGACAGCTGTTTCGAGTAAAATAACTCTCATCAGGTAAGGTCAAGACACTGGAAAATGAGGGCGATTATAGTGCAGTGCTGTGTCTTTTATACCAGCAGCTTATGATGATCAAAAACGAATGGAAATTTTTTTCCCATAGCAAAGATACTGGTACGAAGCATGCGCAAATAAACCACAAGAGATAAGAAGCTTGCGTGCATAAAAAGCAAGAGATAAGGGAGCCATGAGCATATGAGCAGCAAGAGATACCGGTACTGTTACCGTACAAATCATGTACACGTAGAACAGCAAGAAATACGGAGCATGAGGAAATCAACAGCAAGAGGTACGATTCATATGGAGCATGCACACGCAAACACCAAGAAATACAGAGCATTAGGAAATTAACAGCAGGAGATACGAAGAATGTGCAGTGCTCGAAATAATCAGAAACTAAACATGGATCCTGTCTCTGAGGTTGAGTCCACTTGTGGTTGTTCTGCCTGCTGAGGTGATCTGCATTTGCTCAACTGAATCAATCACTTCCTGGCAGACAGCATGAAAAACCTTGTCAATTAGCTTGCGGGCCACTGTTTTAACTACATCGCCAGAGAACTTGCCAGGAAACATTGCAGACACACACTCTTGCAGGGGACCAACGATGGTTCTGTCATGTTCCAGAGCAGTTGACGCAACAATGACCATATCCTTGCCATAGGTTCTATATGCCTGCTGATTGACGACACCATAGATCTTATCCAGACTCTTCTCTGCAAAACTAATGACTTCTGGCCGCATGAAAGTCATCCATCCTTTATCACGTACGGTTAGACTTGTTGGGATGTTCGCTTCCGCTTTCTCATCCCTCTTTAGTCTCAGTAGTCGGCACAGGTCCAAGCATTCTGTCTCCATGGTACTGAGGGTGCTCCCATCACGATGTTGTTTGCCCTTTAAGCCAGCAATGCAAGAATGAAGGGCCCATCCGAAAAATCGATGAGCATGCTTGTCCTCCAATGCAACCGCAACACCAGGCTCGTCCTCTATTGCTGTCTGAAGATGTTCCTTGACGACTCTGCAGCAGAAATTGGAAACAGCTGCACCAATGGACATCACTACACTTGTGCAATCGTAGTCACTCAAATCCAGTGCACAAACATCAGGGTGATCCATCTCAGATCGCAGTGCGGTCGTCCACATCATTTGGAAGATGGCATATTTGTTTGCCTTGGTGGAAGTTTCTCGGTATACCTGAGCAAATTTCTCAGCCAGACGAACAATCACCCTCTTCCAAACTCTAGGAAACTTTTCAAGACTCGATGCCCGACCAGGAAAAACTTTGATATGAAGCTCGCCCAGGACACATCGCATCACCTCAGCTTCAAGTATGGAGCTCTCAATGTTGGCCAGTTTCTCAACGACCTTCAGCTTTTCGTGACCTGTCAAGAGTTTAGCTTTCCTCTTCGCTGGGCGAGGTGTCGGAGCAGCTGGGGCAGAAGGAGCAGACAGGGAGGAAGGGACGTGTTCAGCCGAACTGCCAACACATGTAGCAGCTGCTTCATTCACCACCTCCGGTTCTGCGTTCTGAACAGTTTCCTCCATGTCAAGGACTTCTTGAAGAGATAGGATAGAGCCTGCAATATCCATTCTTTCAGCAGGAAACTAAAAACCAACACGACTAATCAACTACTTTTGAGTAGCGTCCAGTCCTGAAGCAGGAGTCTCCATTCTCCCTCACTACACTCTTCCTTCCTGAAACAGTTCTCAACAAGAAATAATAAATCAATTTTGCCTTTTGGACATGTTTCTTCAACACGAAGGACACGTCGCGTCGCGCGTCAGTGAAAAAAGAAAGAACAGAAAAGTGGCGCAGTTTTCCAACATTTCCTTTCCGGTTCCACGGCTTTTTGATGTTTGGCCGGTTTCAGTCAGTTAAAGTCGAATTTCCCCATCGCGAAACTCTGCCCTCGGCCTCACTCTAGCGCGTATGGCGCCAGTCTAGTTCCGCACCATGCAGTTGAACTAGGATTTCGGATGAACCACACACGCGTTGGAGTTGCACACTCTTGTGTAGTTATGTACTCTTGGTAGTATGTATTGTACTACTCCCTGCTGCCAACAGTCATGCATGCAGCTTTGGGAGTTTGGCACGTACGATTATGTCACACCTTGTTTTTAAATTTTGTTGATCCTACATTACGTCATTCGCTCTTGAGCTTTTTTTGATTTCGCCGCCCCACTCACGTCACACTCACAGCTCAGCTCAGCGCTTCAGAGTTCAGTGTCAGTTTTGGCGTCTGCACTTTTTGCCGTTGAGCTGAGACAACAATGACCAGGTGACGTTGCATATAAGGTCAAGCCAAGCGAAAAAGGGTTCACGTAGTCTTTATCTTATGGTTGCTCTGCACTGCAGTCTGCACTGGCTGCTTGAAAAGGTTTGGTTGATTGAAACTATTATTAAACTTTCGTCAACGGATGACTGTCTAGCTAGAACACAATAATCATTTGCAAGATAGTAGTATTGAGCTCTCTCCTCGGCCTCTTCTTGCTTTGCTTTGCTGGAAGGTGACGCTGTCAGTGGCTGCACAGGTCACCTACTGCATACTAGCTCTAATAAAATAATTCGCCTCTTGAGCACCAAAGTCAGTGAGAGGCTATTGGAGAGGAGCGAGTGGCCGTGGGTGCATTGCTACTAGTAAAAAATCCACTTGCCAGCTCTCTTAGAAATGGATTATGGCCTGGAGGACAGCGAGCCCGAGGATATTGAACTGGATGACGATGATGATGACGACGACGAAGGTGTATATGGTGACAATGCCTTGTGTGGAGAAGAGACCGTAGACTCCGCTGGCGTTCTGCAGAATTTCACGGTGCTGAGCAAGGATGACATTGCTCAGAACATGGTGGATAGCATAAAGGAAGTGAACGAAATTTTCGAGGTAAGGCTGCAAGTGCACGAGACGATGCTGACCCATCATTCAGTCGTTTAACAAGTGGTCGTCCAGCAGCTCACTGAGTGTATTATACATGTAGTACCTGAGTTGTTGCAAAGTAAACTCTGCCCCGAATCCATTCAGAAACCTTTTTTCAACCCCCAGTTGCTATCATTAACATGACTTGGCTATGTGCTGTTCCGGCGTTGACACATGCCACCAGTACCCCGCGCGTTGCAATACTCTACTTTAGGCGTGTTGTTTATGGGCCAACTGCTAGTAGCTGGCTGATTGGCTGGGTGTTATCTCGTGACTGCGCAGGTTGATCCTTTGACTGCACGTGCCTTGCTTGTGCACTTCAAATGGGATAAGGAGATGCTGCTAGAAAGGTGAGGAGGGCTTTGCCGGCATTCGCACTATCGGCCCGTGCCGTAGATATCGAAGGACTTTGCATATTGCTACGGACAGCAGTGCACGGATGTCATGCTTTCTCTTGGCTCCATCATGGCCTACCTAACCACGCTTCTGAGTTGCATGTCTTAAATACTTTTGACTCACCGGTGCATGTTATGTAGGTTCACCTTGCAGGTTACTTCTTTTCAAGATAGCTTCATCTGCTGCGGGCGGTGCACTAGGGAAAAGATCCTCCTGGTTATCACACTGCCTCATGTCCGTATGCCTGTTGAATGAAGTGTTGATACGTGTGCATATACACAGTATACAGTCACCCTTGCGAAGAACGACGTTGGGTCGGGCCTGAGAAAGGTGCTGTTAGCCGCGTGTTGACGCTATTCCAACTTATTCGTGAGGTTGACAGTATGCAGTTGAATGGTCACTAAGTCTGAAGATAGTGTCGTTATCCGTGAGTTGTTGCTTTACCCGGTGTTGTTGTTCACGAGGTTGACTGTACGAGTAGCACAATGTACTATGCTGTGACCGCCGTGCTACACTACAGGAGAGCTTTGAAGTGATTGTACGTTGCCTGCATTGCGTACATGCACGTGTATGATTGTATGTTGCGTTGCCTGCATTGCGTACATGCACATGTAGATACTATGAGGGAGATCCCAGCAAGCTGATGTCAGACGCGCACATAGTCATTGCTCCTAAAGTGACAGTAAGTACTGTGCTAGTAATAATTGCTTGCATCAGTGCTGTACGAGCATAGTTAGGTTTCCCACATGCACGTCCATTTGCATGACTCCATGCACTTAAGACTGTTCTAACGAGTAGGCATTCCTACTATTGTAGGCTAAAGAAATTGCTTTATCTTCTAAAGAAAGAGTTATTTCTTTGCTCTTGGGGGCGAAACTCATGATGCACGACTACCGCCATCAATATAGCTCCCATAGTGAGAACAATTCCATTGAAGACATCGTTCATTAGAACCCACCCGCTCGGCGTCTGTTTTGCTCCCTCCGAGCTCATCAGGGGAGGTCGATGTTGATTGGAGTGCATTCAGTACATTTTAAAATACAGCAAGTAGTCCACATCTTGCACGAAGGAAAAACACACACACACACAGCATCGGCTGTTATATACCTCAGTAATTGGAGTGTTTGAATTTAATTCAATTAGCGACGGCCAAGAGTACTTCGAAAATACGTACTAGTAACTACCCGGAGTTTGTAACTCCACGTTAACCGCTGTCACAACTCGTTTTCAGAATTACGTCCTTTTCCGTGATGCAAAGCATGTGACTACACACAAAACTGCGTTGGTGCCAGGCAACCTTGCAGCTCGCACGAGTGCATAGAGCTGGTTACATCATGGAAGATGATACAAGTCTGAAAACGAGTCGTGACAGTTACGCGTCTCAAGTTGCTCAGTCTTTGGAACAATTCACTCTCCAGACTTGGTAATGTTCTAGCTAGTACTCTTGTCACGCAGAGAGGGCATTCTCTAACAGTAGAGTATTGGCATTGTGCTTGCTTCTCTGGTGACTATGTATGATTGTTCTGGTGATGTTCTGGTTGTTGCAGAGACCTTGTTCCTCGTGTGATATTTGCCTTCTGGATGTACCTCCGTCGGTAAGATTTCCATCTGCATTGTCCTTTGGCCCGCTCCCTCATGGAGGAAGCCCTGTAGTGGACGTTGTATAACCCATAACTTCTATGCTATTACCAGAGTGGATCATGTTGCCCACAAAAATACGTATCAAGGTGACCACTCTGATCAGGGGACCACCTGTCCTGGAGGACCACGAAATCCAGCACCAAAGGGTATCACTTCCACTTACCCATGACCCTGGATAAGGAGACCACCTGTGTACGGGGACCACTTTTTTGGGGTGCCCTTGAGCGGTGGTCGCCTTAGATAGGTTTCACTGTACATGTACAATAGTAAGAGCAAGATACTCACCCGGGATATTGGCTTCACAGTCCTTGTGTCGTTGCTGTGTTGATCGATCGTGGCAGTTGTTAGCTCTCTTTGTGTTGCTCATCATTGTTTCCGGGACTGCTGCTACCACTCTCCTTGTTGGTGTTCAGGAAATGAGCTGTCTGCCGTGCGGGCATACTTTCTGCAATTCATGTTGGCGTCAGTATCTAACAACAATGATCATGGAACTCGGCGTTGGTCAGGTGAGTGCTGCGATCAGATGCACGCATGCCTTACTCGTAGAGCACAGGTGCACCCCAGCCCAACAATGCAGGTCCTGTCTGTGCTTCCAGTTGTCGTTGTTGTTGTTGTTGTCGTTGTCGTTGTTGTTGTGCTTTTATTTATAGTCGTTCAACCAAACAGGCAGTGGTGCCTTCTGACAGGGGTTTCTTTGGAGTGTGCGTGTGTGTGTGTGTATGTGTGGGTGTGGGTGTGCTTGAGTGCATGCTAGGGAGAGGGGTGAATCGATGCGTGCTGGTTGGGCATGGCAAGCTCTCAACCATCCACTACTGGTGGGCTGACGGACCAGCTTTTTGCCATCCATAGCATGCCTTGTTCGTGTAGTATAAATATATATGTTAAAATGATGGAGATGGCGGTGGCTGTGGTGGAAGTGGTAGTGGTAGTGATGGTAGTAATGTTGCTGACTGGCGTGTGTGTGTATCTGCAGCGGATCTCCTGTGCTGGTCATGGGTGTGAAGTGTTGATGGACGAGTTCACTGTAAGGTAAGCAGTCAGTACCGGAACGCAGGCCTTGCTGCTGGGGTTTTTATTCAGTCGTGTTCCTGTGTCGTTGGTAAGCAGTCAGTACCGGAACGCAGGCCTTGCTGCTGGGGTTTTTATTCAGTCATATTCCCGTGTCGTTTGTCTCTGTATACTGTAAAACATGCATGCATCTGGTTCTATAGGACATTTTTGTTATTTTTGTGAACAATTAACTGAGTAAACTCGCGCAGGAATCAAAGTGCTGCCGTACCAGTTTCTGTGTGTGTCTGTTTGTGTGTGTGTCTGTTTGTGTGTGTGTCTGTTTGTGTGTGTGTGTGTGTTTATGTGTGTGTCTGTTTGTGTGTGTGTCTGTTTGTGTGTGTGTCTGTTTGTGTGTGTGTCTGTTTGTGTGTGTGTCTGTTTGTGTGTGACATTGTTTTCAGCAACTTGTTAGTATCCTCTGCTGTCAAGCAAAAATACAACTTTTTGATGTCCAAGAATTTCGTTGAGGTGAGTGCAGGCTGTATACCTACTTGTAAGTTGGCCGCGTTCTGGTGTACAGCTGCAGTTCTGGTGTACAGCTGCAGTTCTCAGCCTGTTACAGTATATTTATGCCACGTGTCTTTCTTGTTTCGGAAGAACTTTACTTCTTTTCTGTGCCTTATTCTCTATTGTACATGTAAGGCCATGGCTTATAAGTACTAGCAGGAGTTATGTACTCTTGTGGTACTAGTAAATAATGGCAGAACTGCTAGTGCATGTAGTTAATTTTGCGAAGAAGAGGTTGTGGCAACTTCGGCCGTGACTGAACACATGATTCCAGCTGTTGAGCATGATGCTATACTAGTGATACACAATGGACCCATTGCTCAATGACGCAATTGGTACCATAAACAGTTTTTAACACCCTTCACAGCCACCTGGGCATGGTCATCTGGGGTGTTGAACAGCGCATTCCTGATCGCAGCGTACTCGCAATCATTACTCATACATTCCATATTTGGCAATGTGCGATGGGTCAACTGTCAACTGTCAACTGTGCTGGTGCTTGTCATGCTGTTGTTCCAACGGTTCGTTAACGCATCTGATATCCTGTGCCTCTTCGTGCGTCTTGCCTTGTGCAGGCGAACCGACTGATGCAGTGGTGCCCAGCGCCAGGGTGTACCTACGCCATCCGTTGCTCAGAGCGTGATGCGCGGCGAGTGCGATGCAAGTGTGGCCGTGTCTTCTGGTGAGCTTGTTGCTGTCCTGACAGGCTGCGGTGCTATGGTGACTTGTAACCCCATCCTGCTGAAGCATTTATGGTGTACAAGTACTGTTTTTTTTAAACTTATTTTGCTTCCATGCAGGTGCACACGCGCATACTCGTAATACATCATGGCTGATGATGTTTGTGTTTGTATTTTGTACAGCTTCAGATGTACGCAACCAGCGCATGAGCCAGTTAGATGCGATGTAAGTTCTGTGAAAGATGTCTAGTCTTCATTGTCACTGACTTTCATGATTGTGTGGTGTTGCATACATCTACATATGATCAAGTGCATGCACGTATACACACACATGCATACTCACACACACTCACACACACTCACACACACACACACACACACACACACACACACACACACACACACACACACACACACACACACACACACTCACATGCATGCACACATGCATGCACACACGCACACGCACACACACACACACACACACACACACACACACACACACACACACACACACACACACACACATTCTTGGCAGGTGCTGTGCTTGCACTGCAGCTGTAAATAACCTTAGCATCTTGCCACACCTGTACACAATGGCAGGTGTGAGTTTTAAGTCTACCTACTGTCTGTGGCGTATCGCTACATTTCGCTCCTGAGCTTTCACCGTCATGTCTTTTAAATAGATTGTGTTCACATGTACACATCGTGTGATGGTGTTGCTGTGTCTGTTTCTACTGCAGTATCTGGCAAAATGGCTGAAGAAATGTGCAGACGACAGTGAAACTTCACATTGGATACATGCAAACACCAAGGTTCGTGCTGTAGCTGCTGACTGCTGTTGTTGCCATCTTTGCGGCTACTCTGCTTCAGTACCGGTCTTAGTGAGCTTGGATCCACACACGTGTTGCGAAACAAGGCTCCACGGGCGGGATTCGAACCCAGTGATTTGCCATTGACAACATCTACTTCAAAGAAGTAGAAATAAGGCTAGTTTTTCTTCTCTTTTGCCATTCGCGACTTCTGCTATCATCAAAGCTGACTGATCTCATCTGCTTATGTTTCAGGAATGTCCCAAGTGTAAAGCAACCATTGAGAAGAATGGTGGCTGTAACCACATGGTGTGCCGGAATCAAGCGTGCAAGGTTTGTTACTTTATCAGGAAGTGTATGCTCCAACCATCTCCTCTATGGTAGACCCAGCGAGTTTTCTGCAGTAGACTCTGTCTCTCTCTCTTTCTCTCTCTCTCTCTCTCTCTCTCTCTCTCTCTCTCTCTCTCTCTCTCTCTCCGATTGTATGAATGTTGTCTGGTCCATACACAGTTCACAGAACACGAATAATTGATCAACCATGTATGATGTAATCTTTCGGCCTGGCACAATCTTTCACGTTTTGGTCGCATACCGGCTGCCAGGCTTTCATTCTGTTTCATTTTGACGAGTGATATGCCGCTAATTTTCAGTCGCGTTTATGTGTTTTCCCCAGAAGTGACTGCACTCTCTCGTGTTCAATGTCTCTGTATGCACTATGTCAATGTCTGAGTGAAAAGAGACGTGTGTTATCTTGTATTGCTTTGCTTTGCACACAGGCCGAGTTCTGTTGGGTATGTCTGGGCGCATGGCAGCCGCACGGCGCAAGTTGGTACAACTGCAATCGTTATGCAGAGAAGGATGCTGAAGCAGCGCGGGGGTCCCAGGAGGTAATTTTGCACCGTGCAATTGTACTGCTGCTGTTGTTTGCCTTCGCCAGCAGCCTATTAAGTGTGCACGAGCGGTGCAGTGAACTTCTTTTAAAAAATTCACTTTTTCCTTGCCCCCAATGCATTGCTCAGAAGGGAAGCGCGAGCTCTCATGTAGGAAGCAATAATCAATTCATCTATTTTGCCGAAGCCTCTACCACTACTAGTATCTCAATAAGTTGCTGTTATTTAATTTGTGAGCCCTGGTGTGTGTGTGTGGGCGGGGGGGGGGTGTCAATGAAAAAAGCGTATAAGTAGGGCGAGTTGCGTATTCAACGCACACACACACACTCACTATTGGCTATAGTGTTAAAAACATTTCCGTTGCCATCTCAACTCCGGCTACTGAGGCATTCAACGACCTGACACCTAGCTCTAACACATCTCCAGTATGCAAACCAACCGCCTTCCAACTAGGAAGGTGAGCGCACAGAAATATCTCTGTTGAATGTCTCCGTAGCCTCTCAGTTTTTGTGCCCTGTTATCGCGCTTTCTGACTGCTTATTATCTTGTTACAGTCGTGGACAGTTGCTTCATAAATCGTTCCCATGTGTTCTCTTCTATTTTACATTTATTATTGGCTCAGTATCTGAGTTAAATAAGCATTGGTGTGTGCATTTGTATGTGCATCTTCAGGAGTCTCGAAAAGCTTTAGAACGCTACTTATTTTTTTGCGACCGCTATCTGAACCATTTGAGAAGTGAGAATCTAGAGAAAAAGGTAAGCATAGCATTTGTGAGACTTCCCTTTCTTGCCATATTGCAAGTTAATTAAAAGAGTTAGTTGTCCGCTCCCAGTGCTGGAGTCAGCTTTTCCTGCTAGCTGTACTCGAACTTGACTGACTTTCACCTGCTGTCCTGAGTATACGAGAAGTGCATCAAACTCTCTACTCAGCTTACGGGCAATAGAGCACCTTTCCGTGCTCAAGCGCTGCTTGAGGGAACTGATCCCTCGTCAGTTTATCTCGGTGTGTTCGGGCGTAGGTTGGTTCATTCATACTTTGTAGACGGGATGGGACAACGAAGAAGCAGCCAGAACTTGTCAAGAACTTTCTGAACGGTCCGAAGACCCCGTCAAACCCCAGGTGATATTGAATGAAATGGATTTATACCGGGGGCTCCAAGTTCTATGCGTATAACCTATCCTTCCTGCATGCTTGTGTGGATTTGTTGTATCGTGCCCCACTCTGCAGCTATACACGGCAGTCAAGCAGAAAATGGATGAGGTCCAGAACAGCGGCCTCCCATGGATCGACGTGAGTGCCACATCATTGCTCTCCACTCATACGTGTGTGTGTGTGTGTGTGACTTTTTCTGGCCTTCAAAAAGCTGTGTGGTGGATACCAGGCTAAAAATAGTGGCGGTCAATTCATCAGCCTTGCAAGCTGTTGTGGTGTAATCCCAGCACAAGTTGCTATGTCTAACATAGCTGTTCGCTATCATCGCGGAAGCGATGGGCATGTCTGAGGTGTGTGTGTGTGTGTGTGTGTGTGTGTGTGTGTGTGTGTGTGTGTGTGTATATGTATTGCAGCACATGTCGAACTTGCCAAGTGACTGTGGCTTTTGCTGCCATGGCTAGCAGTGCAATTCTATCTCAGCTTGTACAGTGCTGGTCAGAGAAATCCAACCTCATAAATAAAGTAGCGTCGCGTTCGAATGCGCAGACCAGTATAATATGTACTAGTAGTGCTAGAGCTGAGGAGTGACCGGCGCTATTCTATTCATAAGGTTGGATTTCTTTGGACAGTACTGTAGTTCTGTCCCTCCAAGAAATCACGATTCCACGGATGCAGTAAATTTCGCGTTTTTAGCCCAAACCCGCGATTTTCTGCAAAATCCGCGATTTCCCGCGTTTTTTGTTTTCTGCACTTTTTTACATCTTTATGCACTTTTCAGGCAGAGCTTTCCATGATCATGTACATTGTAGCTACATGTAGGTGTAATATTTGCACAGTAGACTCGTACTAGTAGTACTCTCCAGTAGATCTACTGCGCAAAAAGCGATTCTACGGATGGAACAAGTTTCGTGATTTGGCCCAAATCCGCAATTTTCTGCAAAATGCCTCCGCGAATTCCTGGAAAGTTCCGCATCTTTCCGCACTTTTCGGTGCATTTTTTGTTGTTTTCTGCCGCAACTTCTTGGCAAGTTTTCGAGAAATTTTCGCAAATTCCCGCAGGGACAGGTAGTTGTACTGATAGGCCTTACTCACCGAAACAGTTTAGCTGTCTGCACTGAGCACGCGACTTGCCAAGTGTGACCGAATTTTGAGAATTGTCCCACACGGGTACAGTTCTCCGTTCTCTGCGCAGGCTTTTACTCGTGGATGTTGTTATCATTGCGTGCGTGTGTGCGCGTGTGTGTGTGTGTGTGTGCGGGCGTGTATGTGTAATTGTGTATGTGTGCGGGCGCGCGCTTTGTTCTGTTCCTGACTCGTCACAGTCCCAGTTCTTGGTACAGGCTGTGGATGTCCTATCTCGGTGCCGTGCTGTGCTGAAGTACAGCTATGTCTTTGCCTACTATCTGGAAAAGAACAATCAGGCGCAGATCTTCCTCGTAAGTGTTTCTAACGACACAGCAACTCAGCAGCGTGCGTTGTTCCTTGACGGATAGGAAAACATCTCGCTGACTGACTCGGAGGAAAATAATTTAAAAACTTCGTCAGTAGACTACTAGTAGTGCATGACGTTCCTTGTTTGCTTTTACAAGTACAGTCAGACCTCGCTTATCCGGTCCTCTTTTACCCGGATCCCTCACCATCCGGAAGAAAATCGTTTGTTACTGATTTACAGCATATGGCATGCATACACACAGAATGTGTTTTCGATTATCCGGTTCCCTCGCCTACTAGTATCCGGATTTTTGTGGAAAACGGATGTGTGCGAGGTCTGACTGTACCATCAGTTTGTCTGATAATGGCTTTAGCACTTGGAGACAATATCTGAGTGGGCACTGTCTTCTCTTGTCTTACCAAGACTATGCTGTGGGTAAAAGAACCGAATCAATAGCTGCCGATGGTTTCTGGCAAGTCATTGTGGCATCACTTATCTTTGGATGTGTTTCTTGACTGTCCAGGCGTGTTTATATTGGTATGCATAACGTGTGCTGCTCCGCTGCGTCTGTGTGTGTGTGCATGTGTGTGCGCGTATGTGCGTGTATTTGATTCTGCATGTGCTGTTGGTCCTCAGGACAATCAAAAGGACTTTGAAATGGCCACAGAAGCGCTGTCCGGCTTCTTAGAGCGGGACATTACTGGTACCAATCTCGCCATGATCAAATCTTCCGTTCAAGACAAGTCTCAGTGAGTATAGACACTGAGTCCAGAGCACATGCCTCGAAGTACAACTTCTAAGAGTGAATGAGCAACTGAACATGAATGAGAAAAGGAAAAACCCAGAACACCTGATCCTACGGGCTGCCGTCATGTTGCTGGGTTGGCAGCTCACTTGACTCTTGTGCACAGTTTAGGCTGATAACCTGCTCTCAGGCCGTAATGCATTTACTGCATACAAAGTATCAGTCCCCAATTTAATTGTTAGTCTTTCTTTTACATTAAACAATTGGTTGAAAGAGCTATCGAAGTTTTTTTTTAGTGTGGATGTGAAAAGAATGCATCAATGAGGGGTTGTGATTAGTGCTAGCTAGTGTTTGAACTAGTCTACTACTTTGTACACCCTGTCGAGTGTTGGGAAAGGAACTCTTTTCACTACAGGGGGCAATCCACCCAAAAATGTTCTAATAGCGGTCCGCCGGTGGCGAACACTACCCTGGGCCAGAATCCAAAAGGATTTGGCTCTGCATTGACTTGCGTTTTGAGCGTCTTTGCCAAACTATTCCCCTGATGTTATCACTAGGACCAAGAGTACATAACCGCCCAAGAATGTGCAACTCCCACATACCCTGCTGTCCCGACAGAAGTTCAAGTTAGTTGACGTCATTATTTATGATGCAATGCTCCTTGCGCCAGTGATTTACAACATGTGTACGGGTGTCAACGCATCACACGTTTTTCTTTGCAATAATTATTTGTACAGGATCAGATGGGCTTTGGTCCACCACAGGTTCCGGATTCGTCTGATAATCTGTGTGCAGTGCGCATTGCGTCATAAAAATGATGTCAACTTGAAATTCTGTTGGGACAGCACCCATAGTCGAGTTGCACACTCTTTGGGGGCGGGGGGGGGTTGTACTCTTGCTAGTACAGTGCTTGTACACACTTTATAGGTGCCTTTCGAAAGTATAGAGGTTTATTATGCGAATGATTTCATCGAGATTTTCAAATGGATTTGAGCGTGAGTCGCGGTATGCAGCGTGAGTTTCTATATAGCAAGTACACTGCTGTGCCGTGGGTCTGCAACTTTTCTGAAGTATCTCAACTGGTGATGTGTAACCGCTTAGCCTCTATAGACCTGGTTTCAAAAGACCGTTAGGCCAGCGTCCATACCACATAAGCTCTGTGATCACTTTGTCCTAAGAATTTCCGAAATTGGCCTAATCTGTGCCGTGCGCGTTACAGTACTCGGAGCTCTTGTGTAGTGGCTCAGCAGCTAGCTATGATTCTGTATGAAGGCATGGCTGTACAGTGTGCTGTACAGGTCTTGCATCAATCGGATTATAATTATTGTGTGTATGCACACATGTTCTTGCGTGCATAGGTACTGCCGGTTACGATGCACCAAGCTACTTGATCACGTCAATGAAGGTTACGAGAAAGACTGGTGGGCGTATGTCAATCCTGATTCACGTCAATGAAGGTTACGAGAAAGACTGGTGGGCGTATGTCAATCCTGATTGAAGTTACCCTACAATTAATCATTGTGGTGCCCTTCCTTGCCCCCTCCCATCAAAAATCATAGTTCTGCTGATACCCTTCCATTGTATTCTCTTACTATCTGCACAGCCAAGCACCCATCCATGACCACACAGACACGCCTGCACAGCCAAGCACTGCCCTTGCGCACCTCGACCGCTCTCATCATCATCATCATCATTGTCATCTCTCTCTCCTCTCTCTCCTCTCTCTCCCTCTCCCGGAGACGCAGTGTGTACAATTATGCTGGCCACATACTATAATCACACAAGCCGTGCTGGGAGGGGCTTTCTACGTTAACTTGAAAGCATGCCTGACAAGTGTATCATAATTATAATTATTATTAGCATCGGTCATGAAACCCACACAAAATCATACTCTTAGCTCCGCTCTATCGAGGCTGTCTTGTGTCCACTAGTACTCATGCCTCTCTTAGCTGATTTTATTTGCGTTCCATTGAATTTCTCGTCAGCTGCTGGGCACGCCTTGTCGCGAGCGCGCGCGTGCATACTCTTCTTTGATCCGCCTATCCCGTTGCTAACACCTTCAGTCTCCTAAGCATGTGTGTCAGGAAGATGCTCTGGTCGACCTTCATTTAGTGTGTGGCACTGCTGTTCCTTTCTTTTTATTGCCTCGACGGCTCCAGCTGGTTTGTTTTGCTGTAAGATGTAGGGAGACTTAACTTGACACCTACATGTACTGTACAAGGTTTAACTGTTAATACTTCACAGAAACAACCATACCGACCACTACTCTTATTATTATAACGTTATTCTTTTACGCCAGGTACACGTGCTTCTCAGTTCTCATGAATCATGCATATATCACTTTTGTGTGTCTAAATAAAGTTTGCGAGTGGGAAAAGCGGAATTCAATACTGGTTTTCTGTTTGAGTGCTGCTGTCAAGTGCTTGCGAAACGCACGGAGAGATCAAGACGGGCACTCACTACAAGCAAGATTATGCCAGTGTTGTGTGTGTACCGTTCTTTAAAAAACGTGATGCTATCATGTTCCATATAAACTGACGGCTGGGCTTCAATAAATATTATGGATATTATGAATAGAGGATACTGGCAGTGCGCACTGGCCCAGCAGTGTGCGAACAGAAAGGAAAGGATGGGAAGATCCGCCAGCGGAGCAAAGTTTTGTGGTGGCATTATTTACTGCACGTAGCCTGGTGTAGTGGCCGTCTTGGCCGCTACCACTGTTGGTGCTGCAGCAGATGGAGCGCATGCCGGCTGCTAGTCCATGCTTCTCTGAACGCCAATGAAAATCTCCTCCAGCAGGGCCAACTCTGGAGCAGTATGCTGCAGATGAAACAGAAGAGAGAGAGAGCAACATTAGAGAGGTTCTGCTACGCGTGAAATGTAGAGAAATCACGTAGAGAGCAGGTGTCTGGGTTAGAGTCTACGGCTTCGCGTGTTTTGGGTCCAGATTTCTATGCGTAGATGACGCTCTCTACGTTGTGGCACACGCAAAGAAAATGCGTACAGATCTGCTGGGTGTCAACAAGAGTAGATAAACAAAAGTGTGCAACTCCGCGTGCATTTTGCCACAGAGCAGTGTGAGAGCACGTGCTAGGTACCGACCTTGTAATGTAAAGCCCGGCCAATTGCACGAGGCAAAACTTTCCAAAAGACTCAAAGCGCGTGCGCCGTCGAAAATATTACGTCAACAAAAAATTCCGCCGCGGGCCAACCCATCCCGGAGTTGCACACTCTTGTTTATCTACTCTTGGTGTCAACCATATGCAGGCAGAAAACTGCCAAATATGGACGGGGAAATTTTCCAGTACACGTTCCACATGATTTCTCTACGTGAACGTAGAGCAGAACAGGTTTTCTTTACGTTACGGGAACGCGAAGAGAGTTCCCGGGATTCTTCCGGTAACGTAGGGCAGAACATCACTTATACCTCTTCACAGACACCTTACAGGAGGATCTTAGGTTGAATCTGCTGCCATGGAATATAGTGACAGAAAATCTCAAATTTTGCAGCATAAATTGAAGTACTGGAAGAGTTGGATCTCTAACGGGGTACAAAGTATAGCGTTTCAACGAGAAACAGTCCATCGTGAACTCAAGAAGAGTTACTAGTGTGCTATTCCTTCTCTCCTCTGTACTACTACTACTACTACTACTAGAGGAACAGAAGACGGATGTGTGATACTAAGTTCGTTAAACTTTGTACCCAGCCAAGTGGGAACAAATCGCAAATCAAGTAACTACTTTGGGCTCGTCAAACTTTCAACTCTTACAGCGTATACGAGTGCAACCTTTGGTCAGGCTCTGGTGCACCTTGGACAGTAGTATGTTACATGTAGATAATTATGGTTTGCTGTTGTGCGATCATGATAGTTAATTTGTTATGACATAACAATCATGATACGGATTGTATTATGTTGTGCGATACATGCACCGTTTACATGCTTCGCCCGGCCAGACGAAACATGCAGCACAGACCGTCCCGTGTGACAGCGAGTGCTCTTGTAGCGACGATAAAACTAGAACTGGGCGCAAGTCAATCGTCTGCTCTATCGGCATTCATGAAGTGCTAACCATATCTGGCTGTCTGGATAATCCTATCTGTACATGTTTGGCATCATGCACATACTTCGAAGGACTCATACCATACACATGTACAACCCATTCAAAATTGTCGCAGCCAAAAGCACCTCAATCCTTCTCCAAATATATTCATTTCTTGTGTACATGTACTTTAGTTGCATACACAAGCAAAGAAAGAAAGGGAAAGTGTTCTAAACCTGGATTCTACTCCACAACCCTGGAACATGCTGGTGTTATAACTTATAAGTCAAGTTCATTTACAACGTGTACTTTTTCCGTACACCCTTTACCTTTCTACAGCCGCAACTGCACTGTCGAGCAGCGGGGATAATAACGTAGTGGAGAACAGGGAGAGCTTAAAAAAAACTTAAAAAAGCGAGTTTTGCTGTGTGCGCACGATGCTTGGGCGACCCTACCCACACGTGCAATTTCATTCGCATGACATACTAGTAGTCATCCAGAAAATTTGAGAAAAGGCCAAGAGATGATGTCACACTTCATCCAAAGAGTTCATTGGCAAACTTTGCAATGAATTTCCAGCCACATTGTGGAGAACTCGGAATAGTTTTTGTAAAGTCAATACTCAAAACTCGACCGATTGACATCTGAAGTGCACGATCATCTTGAATATTGCGCGCGAATGTTCTGAGTGAAAACAAGGATTGGATCATCTGATAATCGGTTGGTAGTCATGTATGAGTCATGGACATGCACTTTTCAAATTTTCATACAACGAAAACTTAGGAAATTGCAGTAAATTCGTGGAAATCAGATGTCTGATAAATGCCATCGTTAAAGGGGAAGTCCGGTGAAAAATTTAAATTTCACAGTCCGTAGAGTTCGAGTCGCTGAGTCGAATGGTCTTTGTCCGAGGAGGCTGCGGCATATGGTTCGTCAGATACGCCCAATCGAACATGTGCGAATTTGAGCGCGCATCACCCAGATCCAGGTGATGACGTCACAGCGTGCAGCCAGGTAGCCACACCATCTAGTTGTGTACAAAAATGGCCATATTCGGAGCGTGTTCGATTGGGGAACTGTTTGTCGCAGCTTCTTCGGACCAAGACCATTCGATTCAGTGTTACAAACACTACATACCCTGTGATTTTCAGCTCGGTAAACCTCGAGGTTATACCGTATTTTAGCCGTTTCCGAGTTGAACTTTTTCCGTCAGCCTCCACGCGCTGTGCGCTGCGTGCATGCAGTGCGTGCAGTGTGTTATCTAGCTGTGGTGCAGTCAACAAACTCATCACAGACGGAACTACTCCCGCACTGCCGTGCTGGGGTAGTATCTACAACAAGACTCGAGTCACAACTGACACAAGACTCAGAAAACTAGTCAACACACGGACTTGTCATGTACTACACTCGTATCAGTCGTATTGTACAGTCATGTAGTCAGAGAACGTGCGTTTCTCCTTGCCGATGCCGGTGATTGTGCTTTGAGAAAGAAAATTTTAGTTTTCCGCACCCGCCTCATTATTTTATGCTACAGCGATGAGTGCACAACCGTGACAAGTGACAAAACAGGGAACAGCTCCCGGACCTAGAACTGTCAGATTCCATAGCGTTGCGAGCGAAGAGTCGTGCCCGTGGTTCAAAGAGCCTGCACTGTTCTCCAAATGAGTAGTCCGAAATATTCCAAGTTCGCACCAAAACATCACCATGTGGCAGGCCACTGGAGTCTAAGCCAATCTAATCGGTATGGAACAACATTTAGAGCACTCGCATCACTCTTCTCCATTTTGGCGACCCTGCTCTCCAGCGATCTGATAATTCATCAGCCTCGTCTGCAATAGCTGCTGCTTCTTCATCAGTCGGAAACTCAGTAACGCTCACTCTTGACGGGCCCGCGCGGCCATTTCTTCAGCTGAATACCGAGGTTCTCAGCCCCAGACCGAACTCATGAAGGTCAGCCATGGCTGCATCCTCACTCTCACAAGGAGTTACAGGTCTTCGGGGTCGCTTGCACCACCTAATATCAGTCGCCAAATCATTTGAAATAGCACTGACACTATTGCTTTCACGCACTCCTTTTGACCTAGCTGCACGCTATGACGTTGCAGAGGGTGTGGCGCGGCCGCATGACGTCATGGCGCAGCCCCCGAAACTCAGTTTTTCAAACGGAAATATCTCGAGAACGCTTTGTCGGAGACACGTGGGACCAACACCATTCGACTCAGCGCCCGAAACTCTACCAACCCTGAAATTAAAATTTTTCACCGGACTTCCCCTTTAACAACTGCGGGATCGCAATAGTCCTGGGGACAGTGAGAATGGGTTCAGATACACATCGGAGACAAAGTTAGAAAGTTCTAATCAAACCTTGGCCTGCTTGAGGTACCACTGACAGGAGCGTCGGCCACGGTACGGTCACTACGGTATTGACCGTACCACTTTTTTGCCTTAGGTACCCCATGAATATACAGTCAACTTTGCGTATAACGACACTCGGCGGGGCATCAGAAAAGTGTCCTTACCGTATTCGCGAAGTGTCCTTATATCCAAAGTCTCATTATCTGTATTACAGTTAGATGGGACTTTGCTCTGGGCATGGAAATTCGGTCGCGAATTGTCGTTATATCCGCAGTCGTTATTAGCAAAGTTGACTGTAAAGTGTAATTATAATGCACTGATTTGGGCTCTAAATTGCCAAAATTCTCATCCACCCCTCCCCACGAGTAAGTTGTACTTCAGATGTCTGACCATATCGCACTAAAATACCCTCCGACGCCCCTGACTGAGGATCACCCAATGCCCAGGCTGTTTAACCTTTGATAAAGTTGCGGGTTGAAAGTTACACAGGCTTCAGGAAAGATCCGAGACTAGCCACACTATGAGCTCACCGTGAACAATGGCACGAGTTTAGGCGCAACAGCAGGGTCAGGAGATGCCTGGGTCGTACCGGCGGACTGCACCACCAAAGCCAAATAGAAAAGAACACGGTGCTGCAGCAAAGGAGAAACAACAACAAAAGCACACATCACAAGTACCATTGTCTTTCTTTATTATTTTCGAGCTCGGAATGTGAACATTGTAAAAAATAAAAAAGCACACAGAACAAGTTCAAAACTTGGAGACAGTTGTGCAGCATACAGGGAAATGCTGCCTGCATAGACGTTTCCAAAGTACAACCAACTAAGCCATGGCGTTGCCGACATTCACGGGTAGATTCCAACATGTCTCCTGCACAGAAATGCATTCCTAACATAATTACGAAGAACTGCGTGCAGTCAGGTTAGAATGTGGCTACTCCCAACGTTGGTGTTTGCACTTCCTGCCAGCCAGATAGACACTCCCTCGAGTATACATTTCATTACCTGAACAACTAGAGCATCAACTCTAAATTATTACTCTGCTATGTCTCAGTGAGCGTAGTTGCTGCCATTGAAAAGCTGCCATTTTTTGTAAATCTCTGTCACACCCCAATACGTGTACTGCCGTGGACATGGGAATCCAGTCGGTGGTCAAGCGGCCCCAGTGCGCTGGCCATGCAGCCGTGAGTTGGCATGCGCTCAACATGTGCACTGTGCATGCAACGTCCTGTGCGTACTGAGGGCGCCGGTCCCGGTCATTCGACCGGATTTCCATGTCCACAACAGTACATAGTACAGTATACGCACTGTTATAGCACCATAGTTTACACATAGAGTGAGATCTGTGGTGTCAAAATGCTTGTAATTCTTTGTCTTGCACAGCAGCCACTGCCCGGTACCACTTTGTTGTATACGTAAAATCAGGGTCTTAGCCGGGGGGGGGGGGGGGGGGTCCCTCCCCCTTCCCAGATAGTCTCTCCCCTACTCTGATGGCACACGCCCTGCGAAAAAGTACCGTATTTTACCGGTTGTAAGTCGACCCCGGTTATAAGTCGACCCCCCTATCTGGAGGTCTCAATTCTGCGTTTTAAAGTTTTCACCCAAAGAAGCACTACTAACCACTCCCTGCTACTAACACAACAACAAATCATGTAAACATTCCTTATTGGAGGATATAACGTCCCAATCTTTGAAAAAGGCCAATAAACTGGCAAAATGTGTAAACATGGTGCACTCGTGCATGCAGTGCAGGTCCTTTTTTTGGAAGATACTGATAGTTCCCGGTTATAAGTCGAATCCCGGTTGTAAGTCGACCCCCGCCCTTTCTCCTTCTATTTTAAGTCGTAAAAGGTCGACTTACAACCGGAAAAATACGGTACTGCCTCTATTTTCAATTCAGGTTTTTTTTCAGTTCACACCACAAAAATGCAGCCACAAATCAATCGCTCTGGGTGTGAACGAGAAACAGCAATCACTTACCAAGGAAATGCCTTCGTTGAGGATGAGATGACGCAGTTCCGGGAAAGACACAAACGTACTGGAGTGCAACAGCGCCAGCGATCGCTGAGCAGTGTGCAGAAGGCCCACATTCGGAATGACCAACAGACTCTCTGCAAAGGCAGTGCAACACAGGGTGGGGGTGGACGGTCTCACATTGGTCACCATGGAATGCAATGTTGCGTGGATAATTTAAATGATCAGTTCATATACACCAGCCTCCACAACACAGCCACACTCAACCCTTCACCTATTAACACCACCTCATCAGCCACAGCAGTCAACTGCACAGTAACACAGCCACACATGCTGATACCGTTACCGAGATAGAGGACTGACTACTTTGCAAATACATACTCAGATATATCAGCAGCGGCGACAGGACAAACCTGGAAGTGTGAGGCACTGGTCAATAACTACCATTCCGCCACCGCGCCATGATAAGGCCAAAACAAAAAATAGGCTTGTTTCCGGTCGGCAACCCCTCAAAAAGGAGACTCGGTCGGCCGGAATGAAACTTTTTTTGGGATACTTTTTTTGGTTCCTCAATCGTTGTGGCATTGATGGACAAGAGCACCTACACATGTACATTGTACATTATAATCATGGCAAGGATCAATGTCAAAGTTGACTGACTCACTGTTCTTGTACAGCATGTGGTGTATTCCTGTTTTCGTACATCCTGAGAAATCAAGCAAACAGTTCGAGTCCTTCCAGCTCCGTTATTCTAGCTCGTATCGACCCCGGAGGTTTTCGAGCCGACAGCTGAGAATCTCTGCTACCTTGTAGGTGTTTCGATTGTGGAATTCGGTTGAGATTTGACTGAGTTATGACTCGTTTAGTGCACTTGCACACATGGCATTGCCACCGTTTGCATACATTTGGGACCAAAAAAAGTTTCAGAATTTGGGAAAAAGTGGCCCGGTCGGGCGACCGGAAACAAGGTCATTATTTGTTTTGGCCTAACGAATTCTGCCTATTTCTGGCTGTCAAAACTAGCAAGAGACTGTCCGTGTACATCATTTGTGCACATAATGACTTCAACATTTTACAGTAGACAGGTCCAAAAACAAAACACTTCATAAAGTTCACACATGTCACATCCAGGGTCTGTAGTACATGATTCTACTGAAGTTTCACTGTAGTCGACTAGTCGTCAACCATTATAGAGTTGCAGGCGTTACAGACTAACCGGATTGGACTTTAGCCATGTCAAGGATGAATACTGTCACACACAGTAACAGTGAAGCGTTGATCCACCACACCTACATAATAACATTGAACAGCATCCATGAACAGGTGTTATCATGAAGGCTCCAATAATATTGAACAGATCTCGATTTGGCCGTAGTATAAACAAAAACAAACAAAGACATTCAATCAGTCCAGACATGGTTACTGATTACCGGTACTCATGCTTCCGGAGTTGTGCACTCTGGTTTATGAGCTCTTCCCGAGTTGCACACTCTGGTTTATGAGCTCTTCCCGAGTTGTGCACTCTGGTTTATGAGCTCTTCCCGAGTTGTGCACTCTGGTTTATGAGCTCTTCCCGAGTTGTGCACTCTGGTTTATGAGCTCTTCCGGAGTTGTGCACTCTGGTTTATGAGCTCTTCCCGAGTTGCGCACTCTGGTTTATGAGCTATTCCGGAGTTGTGCACTCTGGTTTATGAGCTCTTCCCGAGTTGTGCACTCTGGTTTATGAGCTCTTCCCGAGTTGCGCACTCTGGTTTATGAGCTCTTCCCGAGTTGCGCACTCTGGTTTATGAGCTCTTCCCGAGTTGCGCACTCTGGCTTATGAGCTCTTCCCGAGTTGCGCACTCTGGTTTATGAGCTCTTCCCGAGTTGTGCACTCTGGTTTATGAGCTCTTGGCATCAATAGCTACGCCTGGCCACTACGATATTAACCATACCAATAATTGTAATCGTTGGCAGCCACATTATTTTTAATGAAAAGTGATGATTATTGGCTCTAAGGCTGGGTTTACACGGCAACGCACGGCCAGTTTTCCGTTTTCGATCCCGTGTTTCTTCACGGGTGCCTTCCGTTTTGGAGCGTTTCCACAATCAGAGATGAACCGAGCTGAATCTCCGTTTGTCTCGTTTTCGTGCGTCTACACGCGAGCGTCTACATGGGCGTGAAGGATCCGCGACAGTTTGCCACGTGAGCAGTGTTGTCGTGGAAGCACCTATCACAGTCAAGGAATAGTTGACAACACTTCTTAAAACACCACTCCCCACATGACGAACATTGCCGGAACCGTCGCGATCCGTATGGATGCGCAAAACGATACATACGGGACGGTAACAAGGCCTAGCACGCATTTCGGCTGTTCACACATCCTAATCTATCCGGCGGAAGATTTCCGTTTTCAAATGCTTCCACTTTGGCCAGCATTACGGTTTTCTTCCGTTTCGGTGTACAAATCTTCCGTTTCGCTCCACGTACTTCATGTAAACGAAGCGTTACGCTGTAAACACAGCCTAGATATGGAAATTTTATAGAGGGACCCGGCCGAAACGACACCTGCATGTAGTAATTTTAAAGGAAAGAAAAGGACCAATGAACTACAAGTCACGCTACACATTTATTGCAATAATGTAATAATTTGCTGCTGCTGCTGTTGTTGTTGTTTTTGCTGCTGCTGCTGCGGGTGCTCGTCTTGTCCTTCATTTCAGTCATTCTCTCTTGTCCCGGGGGGGGGGGGGGGGGGGGGTTATGCTACCATGCTATGGGTGTTGTTGTAGGTGCTGTTGTACATCATGTAAGTGTTGTTGTAGGTAGTAGTAGTAGTAGTATTCTTTTATTTTCCATCGGAAGCCTCAACAGTGATGAACACAACTCTTAAGAGGGCCGATAACAGAGTAGAGGGGTGTGGGGTGAGAAAAATAATAATAAGAGAGGTGCTGTTGTACATCATGTAAGTGTCGTTGTAGGTGCCGGGTAGGTGTAAGTGTTTGTGCAATCATGCTATCATGCTGTGACCTTGGCTCCTGCATTTGGCGTGCTATCTCTTCATCTATTCCGTGTTAATATTTTGATTCAGGTGAAATTTTCACCACAGCGCCTAGCCACACACTTTCATACTATCATTCCCACACCTTACACCGTTTGGCCAAAATGTTCGCATCTGTCACTTATACAGTTGCGCTCACTGAAATCCGACCCAAAGTACAAAGCTGGCGCCCTGGACCAGTTCCGATTACACCATTGTATGCGTACATGTGTACGTCCAGCTGCATTCGTTCCACTTCCAGGGCGTCAAGGGCCGTGGAAGCTGAGGGCGCCAGCTTTGCACGTTGGATCGGATTTCAGTGAGCGCAACTGTATAATCTCTGTTTTGTCTGCAGTAACTACATTCCTGAAGATGGGCCTTGCCCGAAAATTCGAATGATTATCTCTTTTTCTTTTAGTGATTGGTGTAGCCCAGAGACCGTTTGGAGAGTGTCGCGAAGATGTACGGATAATTATTCCCGTAGCTAAGCAAAAGACGTTACCTCAGTAACGTCTGGCGCTAGCCAGGGTACACACAGCTTTAATTCCGTGTTTCTGCGTTTGTGCCGTCGGCATGCCTAGCGCCTGGCGCTATCCCGTACCTGTCTTGTACCGTACCATCAAAGACAGCTGGCCACAATATTCATCAAATTGGTAGACGGCGTCGTATTACCCTCGAATGCAAAGAGAAAGTTTACTTCAGTTTACTTCTTTCGCTCAGGGCCCTACGCTATGCTTTTTTTTGCCTAGCTCACCATGCATGTAATGCGAATAGATTGAAACTTTTTGCAATACAATGATGTAGCCGATCAGTTCGTGGTGGTATGGTTGGGCATTGTAGCCGTCATGGTCAACGTAAAACACTATGGCCAATCAATGGAAAACACATTTCCCTCAGTTCTAATAACATGTACGATGAGCTAATCAAAAAAGCATAGCGTAGGGCCCTGAGCTTCCAAACTCTCTCGTTGGCTGATCATATCATCCTGAAATTCCTTCCAACGCCCCTGCGTAGTAGCAAGAGTAGATAAACAAGAGTGTGCAACTCCGGATCTCTTCTGCACAATCTGCAGATACCCAGGCCGCGGCGGAATTTTTTGTTGATGTCACCTTTTTTCAGAAAAACGCGCATCTTGCCACAGAGCAGGGTGAGAGCACGTGCTGGGCACCGACCTTGTAATGTAAAGCCCGGCCAAGTGCACGAGGCAAAACTTTCGAAAAGACTCGCAGCGCGTGCGTCGTCGAAAATTACGTCAACAAAAAATTCCGCCGCGGGCCAACCCATCCCGGAGTTGCACACTCTTGTTTATCTACTCTTGGTACACTCAAACGACGTCTCTTATCCGGACGCCTCAGATACGGGCACGTCTCTCTACCGGGCACCTTCAGCTTGAGTTCCTATAGCACAAATGCTTCGAATTTGGGGTTTTTGAACTTTTTTCCGTATGTACAGGAAGTGCTTATTTTTCACTGCCGACCTATGTAATTACACATTTTTATCAATGGGTTCCTTTTTTATCCTGAACATGTGCAATACGTTCCAAATAAACTTCTTCAAAAATGAAATGATACATGGTAGATGAGTTTTCGATACGTACGGACAAATTTGAAATACGGGCAGTGCCCGGTCCCAAGGTGCCCGGATAAGAGGCGTCCGAGTGTAGTAGTAAACCTCCCCAGATCCGGACGCCCCTAATCCAGGCACCTTTCTGACCCATCTAGTCATAAAAATGGGCTTTTCAACGAAAACGGCCCCAAAACATTGATTGCCATCAAACATGTTTACTTTCATGCAGTAAGTAAGTTCTGAGTTACGGCCAATTCCTATTTCTGGGCAGTGCTCGGTCCCAACCTGCCCGGATAAGGGGAGTTCTACTGTACATGATCCTTCTGTCTGGTGATTATGGGAAATAAATTTCTTCGTTTAGGAAAGAAATTGATTGGCCACAAACACCCGGCTTCATGGTTTATTCTATTGTATAGACTATACATACTGCATGTTGGGAGAATTTGGAAATTCCACTTAGCCTTTCAAAACCATTCACATGAGCAAGTCAACGAGAAAAAAACATCACCTGCCCATTTGTGCCAACAGAAGCTAGTACTGCTACCGTGAAGGCCGCCCGAAGATTCCGCGAAGCGTTGTTGCGAGTGACTGTGAATAGCTGGCAAGAACCTGCCAATAAGTCAATGGACACCGTCAACGATTCGCCACTGACGCTGCGCCCAGATAGAGCCTTGTGAGAGCTAGCCATGAATGGATCTTGGCGACAACAGTCTTCTTCCCTGGTGCTTCGATTTCCTGACTACTGGTATCAGCACCGTCAGCTTTCATTTTAGTACACAGCGAACTATAGTAGGCTATTTACAGTGTTGTAGAGTGAATAAGGTTCTCATCTTTCTGTGCTTGCAGCTGTTGTAATTACACTACAATTAAAATTAAAAATTTGTAATTCAAATGTGCAGTCCATCCAGCATGCAATCATTCGATTGATGATCGAGCTCGCGATCGCATTCATGGCCACTCGTACTCCCCTTTGGCGGCAAAAATTAATGCAAACTCGACATCTTTTTAGTAGCGTCTTTATTTCAGGCTAGTTTGACAGTCAGTACATGTGCAGGTTTGGACCAATCAGCTGCTTCGGGCGCGAGGGCAAATGCCAGTCTGTGGCTGTTACCATGACTAGGGAAAACCCTGTCCCCAGTATAACCCGAAAGGCAAGCATGCAGCCTAGCCTAAAAAAACCGCAGTTACCCCAAATATAATGGGAGAAACAACTAACCAAGACAAGACGATCTACTACAAATTACAATGTCATTGGTCACCCTATCCATCCCTCCCAATTCACAACATGTACCACAAGAAATTGTCACAGTGAATTGGTGTTTCTTGCAAAGATGGAAAGATGGCAATACAGCCAATAGGTTGATCAGAGAAACGACACAAATCCAAGAGGTGAAAAACAGCGAGAAGATATAATCCGATAGTTTATTCCGTTGACGATAACACATTAGAAACAAGACTCGATAATAGTCAAGTCATATAGTAAGATAGATGTACATAATATGGTGCTAAGATTCAAATCAAAATGAAGAAAAATCAAGACAGCATTGCATTGAAAAACGCAGGGTAATTGTTTCAGCAAATAAGGAAAAAAGCCCACAACATAACAGCACAGAATAAGTACAATATTGCGCAGAGAATTTCTTTCAAGCTATATGCACTATTGTTGTGAGTTGACTATGATTTGCCGGTTTGAAATATGAAGACATGCGCGAAGTTTTGCCCGGTACATTTACATGAGTATTTTGACCTATTGATGAGAAAACATGGAAGATTTTATGCACTAGAGGACTACAGAAAGATAAGCACGCTTACTTGGCGGCCTTCTTGGCTGCTGGCTTCTTCGCCGCGGGCTTTTTGGCTGCTGGCTTCTTGGCTGCAGGTTTCTTTGCAGCTGGCTTCTTGGCAGCTGGCTTCTTTGCTGTTGTCGATTTCTTGGCAGCTGCAGGCTTCTTGGCTGTTGTTGTCTTCTTCGTGGCAGTGGTCTTCTTCGCTGCGGTCTTCTTCTTCGGTGTAGTTGCCTTCTTTGGCTTCTTGGCAGCTGGTTTCTTTGCGGCGGGCTTTTTTACCTTAGGTGCCTTCACTTCCGATGCTTTCGGGGGTAGCTTGAAAGAGCCAGATGCCCCAACACCGGTCACACGAACGATCTTGCCGGACTCGACGAGCTTCTTGAGAGCTTGGCCGACGAAACGGGAGACCTTCGCGGGGTCTTGAAGTTTGTGTGTAGTGCACACAATCTTGGTGATGGCAACTCTTGACGAACTGCGAACTTTAGCGTCACGCTGCGCCTTCATTGCCTGGATAACCAGGGTCTTGAAGGGAGGATGGGTAGGCTTGGCGGCAGGGCGCCTCGCAGCAGACTTCTTAGGAGTTGAAGACATATTTGAGTCTAAAACACTAAAGGACGCAAAGAACGCAGTCAGAAAACTCGAAGTACCGAGGTAAGAGTCGCAATGACTTCAAATTTCGCGCCAGTTGCAAATATACCCTCGTCTGCTCGAGTTTCCGTACAACTCGCCCACTGCGTGGGTGCGTACACTTCATGAGGTGACGACCTTGGAGAACACGGTGATTTCTGCCCCTGCAAGGAATCCTTGCAAGCTGAGAAAGAATGGGTCTCCATTAGTTCGTATTAGTTGAGAAAGTATGAGAATAGCTTTGCGATTGTATGTGTTTGGGTATAGCCGACTAGAGCATCGTGTAGCATATTTATTTGGCTGTCCATTCTGAAAAGAAATTTTTAGAATCCGTTCAGTGTGCTTCGAGTATGGGTTAGTTTTCAACGCCGTTCACGTCGATGTTTTCCTGAGTAGTCTTGGTTGGAGTGTTTTCAAGCTCTCTGTCAGAGCCCCGAAGATATAGAAATGGCTTGTTTCGGCTGTATGATATACGTAGTGGATCTGGCAGTCGTTATCAAGTTCTTTGGAGCGATTTCTTTGCTGTTAAATGTATTTTGCTTTGCAATTTCCAAACTCGTCCCACGTCCTCTTTTCCAGTATTTTGATTCTGACAATGAGGACAACTTTGGAGTGAAAGTAAGTAGTCTAGTCATCAAGGCGACTTTACTGTGTTCGGAATGTCTTCTGGGCAATGTTGTGTGTGCATGTATTCATATTTCTTTGGAAACCCTCTGCGATCGAGGGAAAAAGTGAAATACTTGATTTGATGCTAACAGTTATCATTCACAGATTCAAATTTGAGAAATACTCCATCCACTGTGGATCTATTTGGGATCTATTTTTCTTGCCTCTACCTTTCCAAATTTAAGGAGTGCTTCACCTCTAGGTGGAAACCATTCTATTGCCTTTCCCATGCGTTCTGAATAAATTTCTTGTTACTAACGTCCGCTGTGACCATGCATGCAGTAGGCTGGTCAATTATGTGCATCACTTTAGTACATGAGTTCAGGGTAATTGTGTAACTGTTTTCAATTCCTGTGTTGGCTACTAGGAGTCTCCTGTCAAGCTTCATGTTCTGTGCATTGGTAGGAGATACTCCAGTGAGAGACGACACGAGTGGCCTCGGTTGTCACAACCGACGAGTGAGGGAGAATGGTTGTTCAAGTCATGACTTACTGGTCTGCATGGCCATTCCTCCCCTCCTCTGAACGTACACGAACCTCCTCTAGAGCATGATGGGTCATGCCACAGTCAGCTTAACGTTGGTTGTGTCATGTTTGCCTCTTGCATTGCATCAGAGCCCGTTCATGCTTACTTGGCCACACATGCCTGTGCCATCAGTGATATCAGTGCACTCTGGTGATCAGCGGTGCCTGACCCATGACGTATACATACACTCACGGCTACATGTAAACTAGTGCACATACCAAGAGTTTATAATCCAAGAGCATACAACCTGTGAGCTCTAGTGCCAGCCTGTGGCACTCCATCATTAGTATAACACCGTACCAATCCAGTTGTGCATGGCAGAAAACCAAAGACAAGGTTCTTGTGATTCGAACGTGGCAAGTTCTATGATGCCATTAGGATTTTACAATCAGTTCCATGCTCACAAGCTACTCGGATAATGCATGGACGTGTCAGAGCAGGTAGATAAGTGAAATAAATAATTCACTTCATGCACATCGATATGTCAGCATTAGGAGACTGTTCTGCAGACGTTCAGATTTCAGCGCAGCAAATGCCATCCAAGTTGCTGGTGCATTTAATTCCATGGACTACATGACGTTCATGAACGAATTGCGAACACGCGATGACACAAGTAGGCGAGGTAATGCGGACACGCTCCCTAACATGCTAACCAGCTAGCCTGATCACTAGGTCACATGCCATGGCAACCTTGACTGTACAAATGTACATCACGACATGCTGTTAATGCTCATGCCTCTGCATCGTGAATTATGAATAGACATTCTACACTCTCATACGAGCACGAGTTGAATGCTCCGAGTGGAGTTTCATCTACATGTAGCTACATGTATTATAAGTCAACAAATATTCGGCGCATATTTATTTTCGGCTATTTTCGGCCGGGCTGCGGGTCGTATTTGGCCGAATTTTGTTTTGCAAGGTTCAGTGCGACTGTGTAGACAGTCAGCAGCATGCAGTACTCGTACAGGCACACATTTTGATGCGGCCGAGATGTGTTTTAGCCCTGGTAGGGCCTCATTGGCTTCGCTCGTTCCTCTTTTCTTTTGTTCATTTGGCTTATGCGAAGGCTAGCCAAGCTTGCTTGGTGATGTCAACGCGAACAAGCATTTTAATAATAATAAGGGCGAAATATCAATGCGCCGAAAATTCGTAGACTTATTGTAGCTATTTTTTTATTTATTTTTTGAAGTTTTACCCTTCTTGTCACAGAGCGCAAAGGTCTTTGCACATCACGATGAGTAACACACCGTTCCCAGTTACAGATAGGGTCCCGTTCCGGCACGTGGGAGAAGTGTATTTTCAAGTACAATGTACACTCATACCTTGTTTATTCGGGCAGTCCGGGACCGGTGTGACTGCCCGTAACTTTGAAATGTCAGTGTAATTCTGAATCTACCAACCCTACAATTGAGTCACCTCATTTACTACTTTGAATGCCGACAATGTGGTAGTCGGTATGTTGGTAGGACCCTTCAACATCTGTCCGAACGTATCAAACAACACGTGCCGCTCTCAATATTGTCACAGGCGGCTAGGTCCTCCCGACCAAAGCGTGGCCGACCACGTAAGCACCCAACTCCACTGTCCGTTCCGGCAGAGGCTTCTGCTCCACAAACGGTGTCTCGGAAAAACCAACACAGCACGCAGAAATTGGGAACAAACATTAATGTAAACAAAGACGAACACTGTGTCTTATCTTCATTATCAGCGAGTACCGGAACGCCGGACGCAGACAACCGCAACTCACCAAAGCTGAGAAGGAGCAAACGGCTGGCGGCAGCTCGGTTTGCAGAGGTGACTGGAAAGATGCATCGAAACTCTCCGGATATGGATGATGCCAGCGGAAGAGTTGACGACTGTCAGGCGTTTGGCAATGGCAAGGGAAGACCGGTCAGGAAGAGAACGCGACGGCAGCTGGAGGAGGAGTGTGGAAGCGACGTGTGCAGTGACGATGATGAACCCGGTGGTCAGTTGCTGGGAGAGCCGACGACAGGTGAAGGTGGCAGCGATGATGAAGAGGACGATGACGATGATGACGATGATGGTGCAGATGGTGTGAAGGACGGTGGCGGTCAGAAACCAAGTGAAGGCGGAGGCGGTGAGAAGAAGAAGAATACATCGGCAATTAAAATTTAAATTGCATTTGTTGTCTAACCCCGTGTGTCGTGAAAGTTATGATGATTCTTGGTTCAGTGTTGTTCGTTCTGCAAGTAGTTTCAAGCAGTTGAAAGTTCTAGAAGCAGTCTACATTCGCATTCGTGATCCAAATCTTTGTAAACAAAAAGAAAATGTCACCGCACTTACGCTATTCCAGTAAATTCGCACTCACACACACTTACACATGCATGTCCATTGTCACACTGCACTTGCTGAATTTCCTATTATTTCTCACCTCACCTATAGTTTATTACCTGTGCAAATTGTTCCTAGGTTTGTGCTATTTTTCTTACTATGCTTGTATCCTCGCTGTTCCACTGCAAGTGTATAAATCCTATTGTAGTTTCATCATTCTCTTTAGTCACGAATTCCATTGATAATTGTGACAAGAAAACGTTCTGGAATACATGATTCGTCCCCATGGTTGTGATATGAGTGCGCATTTAGTTATATTCATTGCATTATTAATTCTGAATCACGTGCCATTTGATGGGGAAATGCCAGAAATATGGCATGTGATGTCACTATTTCCACTAAAAGTACAAAAAGTCAAGAGTAGTGATATTTCCACTGAAAGTCGCCGAAAGGGTACCGGGCGGACCGGAGCGCTCGTAACTTCGTTGTCCGGATAGCTGAGGTATGAGCATACATGCACTTGATTTGCACATGTCTCAGTGTTCACCCAGCAGCTACCTATAAAATTAGGCACCAAGGGGTGTTGGAAGAACTGTATGTAGACCTGCATGATTGCACAGCGGTGGCCAAAGAAAGTCGGACCTGTGAGCCAGAAGCAGCGTGGTGGCCCGTGCAGTGCTGCTTTTGACTAGCGCCGGGTCGGATTTCTTTGGCCACGGCTGTACCTGAAGGTACATGTACAGGTCTCCAAGGTTCTTTGATCCTCCATACAACCCTCAGTACCTGGATGAGGAGTGGAAGCCCTTTGCACAGTACTGGTCTTGTGCTGTTCACCGGTATGGCAATTCTCCACGATAGCCACCGTGTTCTTACGCAAATGTTCACCAGTACTTGCATACTGTGTACATGTATAATTGGAGATGCACAGCACGAACACCGGCAGCACTCGCAAGAAGCAGGGAAAGTACAGAAAGTAACTCCGGAATGGAGGAAAGATAATGGAACGCACAGTGACAACAGCATTGTCACCGAGAAAGGACAGAGAAAGGACGTATCCATGGGCAAAAAAAAAGTGAACACTCAGCTATCTCTCAAAACACCAGCGTGAGAGAATGGGCCCGGTCCACACACACATACAAAGCAGGCCAACGATGATTCAGGCGGCGAACGCCGAAATCACCCCACGACAAACAGCACCCACCAAGCACTGGCAGAGGCAATGTGCGAGGGAAGGGGTAAGCTAAAAGGATGTAAACTACTACAGCACAAGTCTAAACCTAGTACATGTACAATCTTCACAACGCGTAAGCAAGCAGCAACAATACAATACATTGGCAATAGCAAGCGGAGCAGGGTAGCGTTAGAGCGGATGCCTAGAGTTGTATAGCTTCTGGCCTGTGACATCCATGGTAGAGCGAGTGTGCTTGAGAAGTATAGCTTCGAGTGGTTGCTGTGGTGTAGCCAGATCTCTGCGAACAGATTCAAACACAACAAGCAGCACAAGAAACATCCGACCTGCATACAGATGCCTTTACAGTAGAACTCTGATAAGAATCCCATGGGCGGCAGGAAAGTGTACAGGTGGAATCCTGATAATTCGAACACCAAAATGCCAGGGAAAAACTTCTAATTATTCCGGACATTCTAAATACCCAAACATGTACCCACAGCACATTGCGTATGTCAAAATGCTCGCATTCACAAGCAGAATTGCACTACGCACCTTAGACACAGATTTACACTGTTTACTGGACACTGTCTACGCATGCAAACCAAACTGATTTGCAGAAAATAAAGTGAACTTCTAGTTATGGTTTGATAACTTCGAATTATCAGCACAAATCCCACACATTTTCTATGTAAGTGGATTCCGTGGGACTTCTAATTAACAGGATATACCCAGTTCAAGGTTCTAATTTCACCTGTACTACTATTCCGTATCCAACATACTTCTAACATACTTGAATCAACACACCCATGCTCTGGACAGTGTCCGTACTAAGCACGAGTGTCTTTTACGTACTGTAATAAATTAGAGAACGTACTAAGTGAAGCGGGATTCACAGAAGCTTTTTTGCGATGCGACACGCGATGCGACGCGATCTGCGACGGACGCGTGCGATGTGAACTCGCGAAATACCATTCACAGAAGAAGTCAGCGATGCGACAAATTTTTGCAAAGTCTTGCTGATTTGAGTACGTCACCATGATATTTGCGCGGTTTGGTACAACCTGTACAAATTTATAGGCAACTCTTGCACCTTTGTACAACTTTGCTGTAGAAAAGGTCAAAATCGTACGCCAAATCGCTTGTCGCATCGCATCGCAAAAGTTGAGCCAAGCTCAACTTCTGCGATGGCCTGCGATGGCCCAGTTGCGGCAGTTGCGTGGGGTGCGACATGGCTGCGATTTGGGGTTTTCCCGGTTTCGCGCCTGTCGCATCGCGTGTCGCATCGCAAAAAAGCTTCTGTGAATCCCGCTTGAGTTCCACTGTACACAATGGTACACGTAGATGTCACAGTTCCCAGCCAGCTCTGCTCCGGCCAACGGCTTACGGAAATCATGAAAACTTTGCACCGGTGACATAGAAACAAACAACAAATGCACATGCACTGCATGTTTCAATGAACTCACTCAATGTATGGACGAAGGTCGCTGAGTGTCCATTTCGTCCTCTCCTGAAATAGAGCGTTGAATCTGTAAAGACACAACCACACCAGGAAACAAAAACAAAATAACATGAAGTCAAGACGCTACACCCCATGTAGAAAACAACAATACTGTAAGTCAACAAAATATTCGGCGCATATTTATTTTAGGCTATTTTTGGCCTCGGCATTTTTGGCCGAAATTTTGTTTTGCAAGGTTCAGTGTGACAGTGTAGACAGTCAGCAGCAGTACAGGCCGAAATGTGTTTGGCCCTGGGAGGCCGAAATTTAAAGGCGCCAAAAAATTTGTAGACTTACAGTAGATGAACCCTTTGACTTTGAGAGCCGTCTTATACTGGAATGCGTAGATATCTATGCATTCAAATGACAAACTTAGAACTCGGTCAAAGTTTCCGTTGTTGGTACAAAATACATGAAAGGTTGCGATCAACAAATTGTGAGATGATTTTGGCTTGCAAGTCAAGCCCGTGATCAAAAGCAGCAACTCGGCCCAAAGAACATGTAAATATGCAGATTCTTGACATTTCCCTTTTGCTCTCAAGGGGCAAAAATGCGAAGCGCAGTACGGTGGAGTACTGCAATGAAGTTGTCATTCTATTTTACGAGGCAACATACCTAGGACTGACGTCGTATGGCAAGGAATTCGCCGGGAAGTGCCAAACAACAGGTGGTCGTGCAGTTAAGTCATGCAGAGCAATGCCCTGGAAGTGCAGCACATACACATACACACACACACACACACACACACACACACACACACACACACACACACATGCACACACACACACACACACACACACACACACACACACACACACACACACACACACACACACATGTGCACACACACACATGTGCACACACACACACACAGAGGAACATTCACGGTCAACAGGGCAGACGGTGTTGGTAGGACATGCATACAATGCCCAGTCCACTGCAGTAAGAGTACAGTCATAACAACGATAACATGGCTTTGGTGATAGAAGCATGTACTCAGTCAAGGGCAACAGGACAGAGAAAGAGATACTACAGTACAGGCACAGAGACAGAGTCAAAATGATCCGTAAAGAGTAATACCTTTAGCATCTCCAGCGCAACTGTGATTCCCAAAGGTACTGTTTGCTGCCAGACCTCCATGAACTCAGCATAATTGAACTACGCACACCAGGAAAACAACAACAACGACGACAACGACGGCAGCAGCAGCAGCAGCAGCAGAAGCAATCAAAGAGTGTAGCCAAACCGAATACTCCCACATAAGCAAGTACAGTTCGAACTTATCAACTAACTTCACATATGGCACAAGGAGCGCACAAACCAGGGTCTGCAACTCCGCTAAGTTTTGCCCACAACGCAATTTTTTGATTGACATCCACTTTTCTGGAGATCATTAGTCACTACGTACAGAGGTGGGGTTCATGACTCAAAAAAATGTTTTAGCATCCACCTTGAATATCAAAGAGCGAAATGCACTCCGGAAGCCAAAAGCGGGGCATTCTAAGGTACAAAGCCCACCGAAGTGCAGCACATGCGGCCATGCAATGCAGATTGTACACACAATGACTGAAGGCCGCTGGAAATAACTGCTAGAAACTACGGAAGAAACAACTGACTTGCTGTGTGGGGACATTAGCAGAGTTTTGCAGCATGCATTAAAAACAAATTAGCATCCTGGCGATGTACTGCATTTTCCGGAGTATAAGCCTCACCGGTATTTGTTGGCACGAAAGACATCTACCCTGCAGTTCACGGTTCATTTGACCATCGTAGTAAAAGCTGCACCGACCTTTTTTGGGGTTAAAGTGCAACTTATACTCCGGAAAATACGGTACTTGTTCAGCAGGCGCGTACGCAGGGTCACCTCTAGGGCCTATAGGGGGGTTCCAACCGGATCACAACCAATGAGTTTTAACTTTTAACGCTATAAGAGCCACAGAAAATGTTCTAAATTCTGCAAAATATTAGTGGGATCATGACTTCAGTTCCACTCACTCAATCTTCATAATCTTCCTGGAAAGGTATCCGGAAGAGGAAGAGAATGAGGTCAACCATGATAGCCATGATGATGAATACAGTCTTAGTCTTACTCTTAGATCCATGCTGCTGAAGGTGACAATTACTCCTCTGGTTAGAACAATAACTTGGCGACATGTCACGTGCATACAGTGTTAGGTCTAGCCATGAATGATACCCAATAGCATAAATCGTCATTGTGTACTGTTGCCGACTGGCCCTTTGCATTTCCCGCTGTCATGCTTGCGGTCCGTTGTTTCATACATAGCTAGCTAGCTGGCTTTCCAAGCTGCGTCGCGTTATCATGGTTATGTTCTGCTGTACGTGCAGTCTGCGCTGCGTACCGTGCGGGTACGATTTAGTTCCGGTTTAGGTCAAGCAGTACTACTACTACTACGAGTAGTTCCGAGATCATGGCTTTTTTTCAGTTCTCTTTTTTCCTTGTAGACAAATGTAAGCTAAATAAAACGTCTTGGTTGTGTGGCCGCTTGGGTTGGGTCACAGGGGCTTTGCCATCATTCCACTACAGCCAGGACACTGTATATCCAGCGCTAGAGTGCAGCGACGGTGTGAAAAATGCCCCGAACGCGTCCTGCTTCAGCTATTTCGTTTTTCTCGATAGCAGAGTTTCGCTTTTTCGCTGTCTTTGACTGTACATAACACCGTTGACCTACACTATGAGTCTATGACCCTAGGTTCAGGTTCGACCTGTACAACTTTACAGCACATGTAGTTCCACGATTTTGGTGCTAACTGCACTGCAGAGCACAAACCGCCAAAACATACACTATGCCTATAGAATCTAAGTCTTTATAGAAGCACAAGTCTTTCTATCACATTCCATCCTTATCTCTGACGAAGCCTACAAGGTAGAAACGCGTAAGATGCGTGGATCCTTATCAAATTCAAAGACTTTTCGTTGTTGTTGTTGTTGTGTTGCTGTGTCGAGGGACCATATCACTTTACCACTGCCCACTTTGCAGCACACGATTCAGTTGGCAAGTGAACCTGGCGCCTCCAGCTGGCTTATATGTCGTCCGCTATCCCGTCATGGATTTGTGCTGTCCAAAAGCGAGTTCCGTGATGGTTTGGCATTGCGCTATGGCTGGCGACCTTCTCGTTTACCATCAACCTGTGTCCGTGGAGCCAGTTTCACAGTAGCCCATGCCCTGACGTGCAGCACCGGAGGTTTCCCGTCACTTCGACACAATGAGGTGCGGGAAATCACTGCCTCCCTATTGAAACGTGTCGCGAATAGTGTCGCCATCGAGCCACACTTGCAACCGCTATCTGGTGAGCAGCTCCACTACAAGACTGCCTCCACAGAAGACCAGGCTCGACTTGATGTTGCGGCAAGTGGTGTTTGGGGAGGTCAATTTGAGAGAGTCTTTCTCGATATTCGGGTTTTCAACCCCTTTCCTCCCTCAAATCGATCCTCTTCCATCACCTCTTGCTACCAGCGTCATGAACGAGAAAAGCGAAGGCGATATGAACAGCGTGTCAAGGAGGTCGAGCGCGGAACCTTCGTCCCTGTGTTTTGCTCAGCAACTGGTAGTACTGGTCGAGCTGCCGCCGCTCTCCTCAAGAGAATAGCTGCAATGATCTCCGAGAAATCTGGTGAGCCATACTCTGCAGTGATGGCATGGATCCGCTGCAGGTTCAGCTTTGCCTTTCTTCGTGCCAGCGTGGCTTGCCTGCGTGGTGACGACGGCTGTATTCGCACCCGGAGGTGGCTGAGTCATCCGCTCGACTCGCTGTCTCGGAAGCTGCCATACAGCACTAGACATTACCTTTATGCTCTCTTGTTTATGCCTTGTCATCATTGCTTTTCTGGTATGGTCCATGTTATATCGTATCATTGTGTTACTTCTGCCCATACAAGAGGCCGGTTCCATAAAAAAATTCTCGCTGCGTACTCTTGAGAATATCACAAGTGAAACCCGTCAAAATTTGAGCAAGTCAGCGTGCAGCGTGGCGAACAGTCTCAAATTCTCGATACTCAAGTCGCAGTGCGCGCTTTTGAAATTGCCGAGATTCCAGCTCAACGTACGAATTATCTCAAGAACCATTGCTCGCAGTGCTTCACGAATCGTTTCTACCGACAACTGAGACTTTTCTCTTCGACCTGGATATTTGGATCTTTGGATTTGACTGAGTTACGATCTGTTGAAGATTTGCATTCCTGTCACATCGATTGCACGCCCTACCAAAAAATGCGTACACACCTGACCGTTGTACGAATGCAACATATGCAAACTGATGTTCATGCAATCATTGTAGAAAGAATAACTGACTCCTCAGACAGTGCAACTGCTGATGGGTAGCTATCACAGCTCGCTTTCAGAATCGTGCCATTTTTGATTTTTCCATGATGCAACCAGTTCTATGCAAGAATCGGTGATGCAGGGTTCAGTGCGCTTGCAGCTTTGTGTACATTTGAGTGCATCACACCATGGGAATGACGCTGTTCTGAAAACGAGCCGTAACGTGGGTTTACGTGGAGTCGCACACTTCGGGGTGCTATGTACTCTTGGTTGCAGCAATAGACGACAGTGGAATTCACCTACTTTAGCAACACGGCGTAGCAAGTATCCAGCGTAGAACTGACTGACAAGCTCCTCGTCTAAGCAGTACGTAGCACCTGCGGCATGCACAGGGGAGAAGCACCAAAGACAACTGCCGATCAGCCATTCTGGATAGGTGTGTGTAGTAAGTAAAAAGTAAATTATCGTGTCCGTTCCGGAAGGGAACTCAGTGTAGAATGAAAGTGATTTGTTCCACTTACACTCACTCACTCACTCACACACATCCACACACTACAGTGCTGGGCAGTGAAATTTCCTCCATCTTTGGGTTCTGCACCCAAGCAAAACGGTCCTTTATGCCCTGAGCTTGCCCAGCTGAGCCTATTCCTTCCAAAGCTGACAGGAAGACCATGTTTCTAGTCAAATAGGCCGCATTCAAAAAATAATTTAAAGTAACAGTTAGTTAGTTCTATGTGTGTAAATACAAAACAGGTATACAGGTGTGTGGTGGAAGCTCATCTGCAAGATCAGGAACGTACTATTCAAGGCTTGCTTTTACTTGCACCAGGCATTCACACAAGATTGCACAGCATCTGTACTGACATAACGAGTGCCAGGACCAGGTTCTGCAGCCCGGGCAACTCTGTACCAACACCAGATACTACACGCAGCTCAAACGCACAGTGACTGCCGCAGCCGCTGGGTGCACAAACCTAACATATGCCGCAGGATACACACTATCAATAGCTGGAGTCAAAACAACAAGGCAATGCACGTGCCCATACCATTGTCATTCTTCTTGCCATAGCACGTGAGACAGTGCTCAATGATTACGCTGTAGCAGCAAAAAATCACACCATGTGCGCACATACACACACGCACGCACCCACACACATGCAGAGATCTGAGTGTCACTGACTATCCAGCTGAAATCTATACACACTGAGCGTTCGCCCCAGCCCAAAACAATTCACAAGGATACACAATGACATTCCAATGGCCCACAGACCCCAGCCAAAGTGGAAGTGTAAAGAGAGAGAGAGAGAGAGAGAGAGAGAGAGAGAGAGAGAGAGAGAGAGAGAGAGAGAGAGAGAGAGAGAGAGAGAGAGAGAGAGAGAGAGAGAGAGAGAGAGAGGGAGAGAGGGAGAGAGAGAGAGAGAGAGAGAGAGAGAGAGAGAGAGAGAGAGAGAGAGAGAGAGAGAGAAAGAGAGAGAGACAGACAGACAGAGAGAGAGAGAAACACAGAGAGAGAGAGAGAGAGAGAGAGAGAGAGAGAGAGAGAGAGAGAGAGAGAGAGAGAGAGAGAGAGAGAGAGAGAGAGAGAGAGAGACAGAGACAGAGAGATCAGGATGTGAATAGAGTCCATGAACCCAAATAAAGCCATACGATTGTACATTCACAGGAAACACAGTTGGTTCAGTCTCACTCACTCACCGAGGCAGCAGATCAGTAAGTAGCTCACAACACTCATCGACCGGAACCTCGTAAATTGGCCAGTCCTTTTCTGCTAGGGACTGGACTATCCGGTCAAACGCTTGTTCAAAATAGTCCGCGCTCAGCAGTCGCCAGAAACCTGGACATAATTAACATGACCAGGAATGATCAACAGTAAATGAGCCTCTAGACCCAAAAGGGGCTTGTGTCATTTTTGAACAAAGCGCACTGTACCATGACATTGGCGTAGTCCAGGAGATAACTGTGCAGAAAACCTAACTAAAAAAAAACTTCATCCACCACAGAGCTATGGCTGTTTGAACAGTGTTCGCAGCTGGTTGGTAACAGGCAGCATGCACAGAACAACACCTATGTGCTCCCAGCGCCAGGTTTTTACCCTCCCTGATCACGCGACAAAGGGCACAAATGGAGGTAAAAAGTGTTCATATTGTCAACATGATAAGTAACATATTGAGATACTGTACAGGCAGAAAATTTCGTCGGTCAATAATTTCGTCAAACTGCAAAGAAAGGGAGTTCATCCTGTTGTAAATTTCGTCCATGGATCAGAAGAGTGTACCTGTATAGAAAAGCTGGATAAATCGACATTAGTCCGGCATTTAATTTAGTCCAAAAGCTCCTTGCGAAAAAGACGAATATTTCTGCTTATAAAGTATCACACGGTCTCATTCAGCATGGCGGTCATTTGCATTGTGCTCACCATCGATACAGCAGGCTTTGCATCGCTTCAGCCCTGTCCACAGCTCATCCTCACTTCCTTGGACGAGATCCAGTAAGTCACGAAACGTATACTGTGAACGCACATGCCAATTGCGGGCAGACGACAGAACGAAAACAACAGCAATGGCAAGTTTCAACGCACATCAAGCCAGTAGGAGAATATGGTATAGCCAATGCCGAGCCCGGTACAACCATGCTTTAAGTATACATGTACAGTACACTGTGTAGGAAAAGAAACCAGCTACAGAACTATAACTATATCGTTCCGCAAACACAAGCAAGTAGTTAAAAAGAAGTATTGTAGGAGGGTCATTGAGGACAGCCTGCCAGTCAATACTTATGCGTGGAGTGTACTCCATGCAAACGATCCAAACAGGCTGCTAGCATTCTTCCATGAACACACACGTCACCACCCGGGTAAAAACACCAGTGTCTTACCCCGGCAACAAAGTTATCAGGTTCTGTCTCCGGTCCGGCATACTGGTGTTCGGACAGCACCTCAGCAAGACGAGACAGGTGACCGCGGCACGGACGTAGCTCCAAATAGCTGCACGCAGACCCGCACACCTGCAAAACACACACACGCACACACGTGCACGCACACACACATACACACACACGCACACACGTGCACGCACACACACATACACACACACCAACACAGCTCAGAATCTCTCCGAATTTTTCAGTAGCATAGCCACCCGAAATCCAGAGGAAAGGGGAAAGGATGGGACGGTGCAAGCAGCATACACCCATGTAAACAGGCTGAAGACATCTCATATGCACTAATGTTCTCATGACATTGAAGTTGATTCTCAGGAGAATCAGTGCACTGGAAATGCCCAGCTACCAGCTATATACGACTACAGTGAAACCTGTCTAAGACGACCGCTCAAGGGACCTTCAAAGCATGGCCTCTGTAACCAGGTGGTCCCCTTATCTAGGGTCATTGGACTGGAAATAGCATCGCTTGGTCCTGCTTGCAATGGTCTTCTTGGACAGGAGGTCGTCTTATCCGAGTGATCGCCTTGACACGTTTTACTGCACATGCCTTGATAGAAAGAGAAAATCATGCGAACAATGATTCAACAATCTTCCAAGTTGAACATCTGCCTTCAATTCCAATCCAAGGTGAGCATGTGGGAAAGGATAGTCGGAACAACTCTACTACTGTTTGAAGCAATAGATTGATACAGTTGGATTGTCATTGCGCAACAAGTGCTAATACTATTGCCAAGGGGTCAATCTGTACATTGTACAACAGTGAGCAAACAACCAGCCGCTGGATTCACCTCTTGGCGAATGAGTCCACCGCCAGCGCTCTGTGAAGCCGTAAACGCTGCAGGTTAACAGCACGGGACAAACAGACGTGTGAAATGAGCACACAAGGAGCTGCCAGCACCAGCTACATGGAATACGCCAAGTGTACAGCAAGCAACAGAGAACACAACACATCAGGTGACTCAGAGTTGACAACCACGCAACATAAGGGGTCGTCCATAATTATCGAACTTTTTTCACGAAACGAAATAATTTCGTTATGGGGTGGGAGGGGCCAATTTCGTTTCAGAAAAGTTCGATACATGTACATGGCCATAGGCATAGGAGCAGTGACACACTTGCGACTTTTGTTGTATATGCATGTATATCTCAACAATTTTTACGTTCTGAGGGGGAGGGAGGGAGGGGTTGGGTCTAAACTAAAATAATTTGTTTGGTGAAAAAAGTTCGATATTTACGGACGGCCCCTAAGATCATATGGCCATGGATTAGCATCAGTCCCTGATGAGAAAGCTCTGTGCAAAGGTGCAGCCAGAGTCTAAGACTTTCATTCTTTTACTCTCACTCAAAGTGTCTGCAATACTGTCATAATTATGCTACCAACAACTGGACACATAATGGGTGGTGTTGGTGAACATGAACACATTCTATTTTATCATCACTGTCACTGCTACTATACCTTCTTTGCCGGGTGTTTGAATGTCGCGGCACAACAGCATTGTGTTGGATGTCTCGACTACCTTCACCTCAAAGGATTTGCTCTCCGTGCACAGGATTGCCTCATCACTGGCCAGGCCACGTATCACCACCCTTGAGTGTGATCCAACACCACCGTCAGCAAGAAGAACAGGAACACACAAGTACCGGGACAACTGACGTTACAATATATTCTCCTCGCGCTGACCGCGGCACACATGGGGTGACAGTAAACCAGGCGCACTGCATCAGACCAATCTTTGCCCAGACAACACAAAAAGCAACTAATTTCAGTATGGCTTTCTAAAGGGGAAGCACATACATGCTTATGTTCCCAACCTTATTGTAACCTCCCTCTCCCATCAAGCTTCAGCTTGTGGATGACGGCATCAAATGAAACAAGCTACATGCAGATTCCTGTGACACACCGCAGCATGTTCATGCATATCAGTTCTGGAGATAAATTGGATACTGTTAATTATTCGTGGTGCTAGTTTACCTGTCCCCTTGTTTCAACGATTTCTCGACTTCAGGATTCAACTCCAACAATCGAACGTTGCCATTGATTGCTTCAGAGAATCGTAACACTTGAACCGGATTGTTTGGGACCATGTGAATTCCAGCAGTTTCTGCTGCTTCGCACACTGTACTGAGGGTGCGAATACCCTTTCCCTCCTCACAGGAGTCCATTATAGCTACACTGAGATAAAACTGATGCTATCTTCTCCAAATAAAATTTCTAAAAGCGTTTATCCTCCGAACAGCCTCCAAAAATTAATGGTATGTACCTTCCATCCCACTTGGATTTCCCGCGCCGAAGCCAAAAAATGAGTTTGGGCTTATTTTTTTCCCACCAGATTTTTTCGATACGATTTTCAACATGCGATGCCTGAAACTTTTGCATCCAGTTGAAAATAGTGAATAAAAGTCAAGTAACAGTACTGTTGAAGGAGACGGTGATTATTTCGATCAGGAGTAACCTGCTGTGAAGCTTGATCTCTACTGTGCAAGATGGCCCTGCTTCAGGGCAGGGCCGCCGTCGTGGGAAGGTGAGATTCCTAACCTTAGCCATGCACGCCTTGTCATTGTTATTTTTACAGAACTAAATACATGTCATGCAAAGTACATCATTTCGAAATCAATGCAAGCATATTGCCTGTATTTATGCGTCAGACTGAGATGCGTGTACGGATAGGAGGTTTAGGACATGAATAGGAATATTGCACCAGTCAGTGAAATTTGCTACTTGTATAGCATTTGGGGGTCGTCAGAACTTCTCTCTCTATCTATCTATCTCACACACGTACACAGCCTGAGGACCTTAGACAACTGTCTATCTCACACACACATACACACACACCATTGGACCATTGGACGCCCATCGCTGGAGGCGATGATAGCGATGCTACAGCAGAAGCCATAGCAGCTTGTGCTGGGATTGCACCATTCAACAGCTTGCAAGGCTGAAGAATTGACACACACACACGCACGCACACACACACATCCAGACAAGGGATTAGACAAAATGATAAGCCTCTGAAATTTCACTGCTATTTCTGTCTTGAACTGTTGTTACCAGGTTACTGTAGTCACCAGAGCAAATTTATGTAACGTGGCACAGGCGCACACAACACGAAAACAAGCTAAACACCACAGCGAACTAAGAATGTTAGCTATGACATATTCCAGACGTGATGCAGCTAACATCCTTCGTTCGCGGCTTATACATGTACTCCAGAAAACACAGTACAGTCGAATATCACTTATCCGGTAGCCAGTTATCCGAGCACGTCGGTTATCCGACAAGCCCGGGAGTGGTAATTCTACGACTCAACAACATTAAAGTTCTAAAAAAATGTTGTATATTATACGGTGTAATATACATTTTACTTGAAGTAGATGTGGTCAAGTATGCTAACATGTATGTGTACATGGAGCAATTCATGAATATGGATGAATATATTTGGGTATTGTGTACATAAATCAGTGAAATCCAGCCATATATGCACATAAAAAATGATATCAGTTATCCAACATGCCTGATTCCCGAAGTGGTCGGATAAGTGACATTCGACTGTACCAGGTTCTTTGAACCACGGTCTGCTCTAATTCTGTGCTATATGCACCTGATATCAGTCAGCAAGTAGTAGTCACTACTTCTCTGTATTCTGCATGCTGCGTGACGCACAGGCATTACCTTTGAACTTGCCGTATTGCATGTGAAATCGTCGAGGCTAAACCATAATAATAATAATATTCGGGGTAAACCATAGTAAAACTCAAATCCAGTCAGCTGGGCCGTCATCTCACTACGTAATGAAGGCAGTGCGCCCCGCAGGGGCACCCATAGCTCGGAGGTCTGTGGTGCACTCTTGGGGCTATGCACTCTTGATATTACCGTAAAGTACCGTTGATCCGCCCCCTCTCTAATTCCCGGCCCCTGTCGATTTTCTACCTGGGAAGCGACTTCGGCGTATACAACGAAATACGATGTTGAACCGACGCATGCACTGCTGTACACAAAATTTGCCAATCCAGGATGAAAATGTGCACAATCCAGCACATCGAGTCTGATCCTCTACGTTGTTGTACATTGTACTGCACTTGACAGCCTTGATTTAATTCCCGCCCCCTGCCGAAAATCCAGGTGGGAAGCGACATGGCGTGGGGGGGGGGGGGGCGGATCAGCGGTACTTTACGGTATATTTTTTATATATGTTTGTTTTCTCAAGTGTTATTTTGAAGATCTGATGTCACAATGTAAATCTCTGCTATTTCCCATATCTGTTCAGCAGCTGCTTGCTTGGCTCATGCCGGACTGCGGTAAGCACTGGGCTACCTCACACCAGAATATTGTTGTTCTTGCTGCTACTGCCTCACCGGTTCTGCTGGTGCCATTACTAGCATCCGCCGTGTAGCCCATGTATTCTAGCTTAATTAATGTACCAGTACGTGTGTGTGTGTGTGTGTGTGTCTGATCCTGTGATAGTGGTAGCTGTTGGTTCATGTCTGGTGCAGTATACACGTATGACTTACAGACTACAGTGCATGTGTACAGTGTCACGATGTGCAGCTGTTTGACTGGATTCCGTTTGCTCCTGTTCCCTCTGGTGTTCTCAGGGCGTTCGTGAACTGTCATGCAGCTCAGCACGCTGTATGATTGGCGAGACAAAGGTACAGTGTGCAGTGAATTGTGTGGTGCGTGAGAGGCAGATGTTTGGTACCTGTAATTAGCCTCTGTGGATATGATGTGTATCTTGTTGGAACAATGCTTTGCTGCATGTAAGCAAGGCCCTGTGATGCATGTATAAGACCCTGACTCTTTTTTAACATGAATAAAACTTTAGTTTCTTTGGTTTGTGACTCTGGGCATTGTGGCTTTGCTTGCTACTCCACTCAACTTGTACTGTGTTTGTTCTGTGTCTGCATGTGTGAGTCTGTTTGATCCTATTCTCACTTCTTGCTATTCTGTTCTGGGGTTTTTTGCCTCTTTTTTTTCTCGGACAGTTGCCAGTGCAAGACCAGCAGTTGCGTAGACGACCACGCCGCAACTTCATCAAGCTATCCTCTCTTGGACTGAGCAAGGCCAAGTTGGTGGATGGAAAGTCGCATCTGAATGAAGACTGGACAGATGTGTGGCCAGTGGCAAGAATGTTTGATCACAATGTTGTCCACTTGCCCTTACGTATGGGCCATCCGCCCATCAGAGGAGACCCCTATCCAGACAGTATCGCCAACCAGGAGTTGATGAAGATACCTAACTTGCTGCATCTGACGCCCAAGCACATTGAGAAACACATCGAGGCGCTGCGCCCCCTGTGCACCAAGTGGCCGGCCAACATGACCAATTTTACTCATCCCATTCGCGTCACGACCAGCAACTACCTGCGCCCTGGCAGAACGACGTTGCATCCGGACAGCCTTGTGGTGACAATGACAGTCCACATTGACGCAATCCCACTGTTCAAGGAGAAGTTGCAGAAGCTGGTGGCGATCGTCGGCGACCGCTTTGATCCGAAAACTGGTTTGCTGACGCTGAAGTCTGACACCTTGACAACGCGCAGGCTGAATAGAGACCATTTGAACTATCAGCTCCTCGCTATCTACTTTGAATTGCAGAAGGAGGAAGACTGGGAGAAGACTGATCAGATTCCAGTCTACAATTTGTGATTTTCGTGGAGGAGTTCTTAGGAAACACAAACATAGCTGGCAAACAAGACTTTTAGTTTTCTATTTTAATCCAGCGAGAATGTGAATTGAAACTCGCGGAATCTGGTCGCAGTGGTATTGTGTGTGTGTGTATGTGTGTGTGTGTGTGTGTGTGTGTGTGTGTGTGTGTGTGTGTGTGTGTGTGTGTGTGTGCGTGCGCGCGCGTGCGTGTATCTGTGTGTTTTAATGTTGTGAGAATACAATGGGTTGTGTGTTGCATGGTGACACTACAGCTGTACAGGGCGGCGATAGCCAGCAAATCTCCGATGAGAGATCGATCACATGCGGAATCGAAGTGAGTCAACCCCTGCGCTGCGTAACAATGTCATGATAAGGCGTACTTTGGTCGTTTTTGTATTGGTAGACTTTATCAAACAGATGGGGTGAAAGTTTGCAGTGAAATTCTTAGTGATTTTTTCTGATCGAACATTCGAGTAATTTTCATCTTCTACAAATTGGATACAACTGAAATCCACAGGATAAGCCCAGATTGTACACACCAACTGTCATTGTCCGCAGTACATTCATTGCTGGGCCATTTTCTATTTCAGCTCTCTCTCTCTCCCTCCCTCCATGCAAGTATATGCACAAGAGTACAAGTGTAATTTGTAACCCCCAGAGTGTGCACCGTTAACAAAAATAACGCCAACTTGGTGCCGGGACAGTGATAGTGGGTGGAGTTGCACACTCCGGGATGGGGAGGTGGTACCGGTATGTACTCTTGGTATCCCCCACATGCACACAGCCTGCACATCCACCTTTGCTCCTTGCGCACTTGGAAACTAAAAATATTTTGTTGGCGTGATACCCCCTAAACAATGTACAGCTGCATGCCTGCAGCAAAACCCACGCCTGGTTCTGCCCAATAATGTTGCGGACAGAGCAAGCCATTCGGACCCAACTGTCGTAGATCTACGTCTGAGCAGGTGCCGGGTGGGCATCGCTCTGCATGCAACACACTGTACACCACGCGCTGCTAATAATGATCATCATTTTGACACGTTATGCATGTGGTCATTTCATTGTATTGTTATACTAATACTCCTCAGACATCAATCCTGAATGGCATAACTGCCATAAGCGAAAGTGGCACCCCCGCTGACCCACCGCCGGGGCCCGGGTAGTACACGTTATGCATGGAGTGGCAAAGCCATGGGCGCAGTGGTTAGCTAGTGACAATTAGTATTGTTTGCCATATCAAACTAGCACTGTGTCACACTGTGTATATGCTCTGCTAATGCCACTCAATAGAAACTCAAATCTCAACACGCTAGCACTGTTTGCCACTCCATGCACTCCATACACGTTGCATACGAAGCATACTGTACAGGCAGAAAATGTAGTCGGTCAATAATTTCGTCCAACTCCAAAGAAAGGGAGTTCGTCCGCTTGAAAATTTAGTCCATAGACCATAAGAGTGTATTCAAAAGCTGGACAAATCGGCATTTAGTCCGGCGTTTGATTTAGTCCAAAAGATCCGTATGAAAATGACGAATTATTAAATTGCAGACGAATATTTCTGCTTTACAGTAAACGCGATGACCTCATTCGAATAACCTTTAAACATGGCAGCAAATTTCTCCGGCTAGGACTGTAGTAGATCTGGTGTTTCTCTTGTCAAAGCAATGTTGTGACCATGACACCACAAACTGACACCGGTTTGTTACCAAATTTCAAAACTGTACAGTTCAAACAAGCACAGGGGCCACGCCAGCACGACAGCTGTGCTGAATGAAGAGAATGAGAAAAAAAAGAGAGAAAGAGAGAGAGAGAGAGGGGGGGGGGGGGGGGCAATCGTGTTCTGATGAGGGTTATTGAACCAAGGTGCGAGCGATACGTCGAGGAGAGTACTTCAACGTATAATGATTCTGAAGATTGGAAGATTGGGAGGGCGTTGTGAATCGTAGTGTTACTTGAGATTGGGTGGTTCACCCATCCATATCATTGTTTAAAAAAAGAAGCTGAAGGAAGCATGCTAGCATCTAACATAATAAAATCATGGTGATGAAATCACAATCGTGTAATCCCTGAAAAAAAGGTGCCAGATTAAAGTCCTACCCAAAATACGAGTAGGGTGCCGAATCATGGGCTGGGCACCGGTCACAAGGTAGCAAAGGCATGGAGACGGTGTGAGTAGCCAGCACGACACATTGTAAGGAGTACCCACCGTTACCGTGCAAGCCGGATCATAGCAACGCCTGTTTGCAGAGCCAGCACACGCTTGATGTTTGCAGGGCCAGCACATGCTTGGTTTCTGGAGGGCGAGCATACGCTTGATGTTTGCAAGGCGAGCATACATTTCGTGTTTGCAGGGTGAGCACATGCTTGGTGTTTGCAGGATAAGTACTACTTGCAGTAGTAAGTATGTGCTAGGTGTTTGCAGGGCGAGCACACACTTGGCTTCGTCCAAGCACAAGTAGCTTTCATATCCTCGCCTGCAGCCGTAAGTTCAACGATCTGCGCCAGCACAAATCCATGCCATCAACACAAGCGTTGTTAGCTAGAATTAGTAATTCCTGCAAGTTGGTCAGACCACGTCGACAGTGTGCAGCAGTGGGCAGGGTAGGGCAATGCAGACTGCTCACCATGCTCAACATTGTTGGCACTGACCTGGGAGAGTAGACGAGGTGGGAACACCGAGTGCTAGTCACGAATACACGTAGGACAATCTGTAGCGTGATTCAGTCACATTTGCCACTATCATCATCCAGAAGTCGCTTTAGATTCGTCAAGACTGCGCCGCGACACTGGTGCCATTTTGGTTTGAGGCCCTTCGCTGACTCTTCAGTATCGATGGACTTGAGAGCAGCAGCAGCATCCATGCTGGTGTTACTACTGCTATTATCGGTTCCATTCAGCCCTGATGTAGCATCATCATCACTGGCTGGGATAGTTGCGGAAATGCTTGCAGAAGAAGAACTGCTGTTGCTGCTGCTGCTAGCACACAGAAATGGCCACACCTGAGCCTTCAACAGTACAAGCTGAGGTTGCAAGAACTTACGGAGCGGGAGCCTGACAGTAACCAGCGCTTCTAGAATTTGGGAAAGAAGGCACCACTCGGCAAATTTTTCATCATCAGCACTCAGCGTACCTGCCAGGTTGCGAACAGCTGCTACCAGGTAGGACTCTAAAGCTGCTTTTTCAGCCTTAGCTGTGCCTTCAAACTGAGACTGCAGGAGCATCCACAGGAAATCTTCGGCACATGCCATGCCCTCAGCTCTGTCTTGACAGGATGGTAGAGTGGCAATGAGTGACGGCACTCGGAAGGCAAACTCAAATAACTTTGCAAAGCGACAGCAGCCAGCAAGGACAGCATGCCGTGGGTAGTTGGACCAGTTATGCGTTGACAGTGCAGCCAGACAGCACGTATCACGCCACACGCCGGAAGAGAGCAGGCGCTCCACAAGTGGCAGCGAGCCCCAGAGAACCGCTAGCTCCACACAGCCACACAGCGATGCAAGGCGCTGAGCAGACACTGCAGCCACAGTGCGGCGAGACTCTCGGACTTGACCTGACAGCTCCTCGGCAACTGCAAGATTCAAAGAGTCTGTATACAGCCGTAACACTTCCCGGCGGCATGGACCAGGCATGTCTGACAGTGGTAGTAACGCAAATCGATCAATGGCCAAGGAGAGACAGTCCATCGGCACAGCAGATGTCGGAGATAAAATATTCCGGTTCATATTAGTAATGACGTCTAAGGACAGGCCAGGGTAGGATTCAATCATACGCAACAGCAAACACAGGTAGAGGTGTCCATGCTGTGAGAGATGATCGTATTTCTCGTGCTTTGAAAGTGACCATAATTCCTTAACCAGCATACCAGCACTGTCCAAGCCACTCTCGGAGAACCACAAGCTACCCGGGAGAGTAAATAGTGTGTCGGCGCGCAATTTGCTGCCACAGTGCAACAGGTAAGCAGCCACTGCATCCTCTGCACTGCACGCGTCTGATACTGACTCCTGCATGGCAGTGCCGGCATCACCACAATCTACACTTGTGTCCTCTATGCTTTCGAAGATGAAATCATCGTCGTCTTCCTCGGCCGCTATGCAATGCTCCAGTGAACCAGGCTCCATTCGAATCTCACCGTCGCCAGTGGCAACGGTATGGCTTTCCCCAGGAACAGGTTCATCGTCCACAGACCAATGACTGGACGAGTTCAACGCATTGACTACAGCCTGTTGGTGATCCTTTCCTCCACCTTTCAGAAAGGCAACACCGAGCAGGCATACCTTCACCAGAAGTTGGTGGCAAATATTGGAGAAATGACTGCATCCCTTTTCCAATCTACCAGCTTCACTGGCAACCTCAGATGCGATGGAAATGGCGTTGTCCAGCAATTTACTGGGCAGAGCTGGCAAATCGGACCAGGACTTGGCTCTCTCCAGGTGCTCAGCCAGTTTCTCAATGTCTTCTAATTCATACTGGGGCATATCATAGGACAAGCATTGAAGAGCTGTGGTGACACCATCCTTGGCCACCTCGTCTGACGTGCCAAGGGCTCCTAGCTTTTTCAGAAATGCTGAGTACGCCTCATCTTTCTGCTCAGCCATATCGTACTTTGCACAGAAACAATATCAACAAAATGCAGCAAAGTAAGTAGCTGCTGGTAGGAAATGCAACCAACTAACTTTCCTAGATCCTGCACTACATTGTAGATCCTGTTCCTCAACTCATTGCTTTATTCAAAAAAATTGATGGAGATGGCTTTCGAGCAGGAGTCAAAATACCCTGCTTTCGAGAGATTCAAGCTTGGCGTACTGTCGCGTTGCCTATGGCAACACCTTCTTTCACGTCTTTTTGCGATCTCTGCTTGTTCAATCCACAATTTTTTGAAGTTAGTTTTTGGTGCAGAACGTGTCTCATTCTTATTCCAACGCCTCTACTAAGTTGTGAGCTCTAGCACTGTCCACTGCTTAGTGGCTATCACTGGGAGAAAAGGCGGCCATGGCCTTCTGCCATGGCAGGATGTCCGTCCTTGGAAGGTCAGTCGATGTCTGTGTTTTTGGTGCATCACGTGCCAACTCCTTGCTTGCATTTACTAGCATTTTGAGCTTGAATGATTTGGAATCGTACTGTGAACGCTCCTTACAAAGCATCCTTCCTTTCCCCCATGTGTGCTGGGATTGTTTTTTTACTATAAAATGGATACTAGTACATGTAGAACATTGAAAATGGAACATCCAACACAGGCGCGTGCCCCGTATGGGTTCCTCGGCCGGAACCCCCCTTTTTTCGCTCAAAATGCAGGATTTTGCTTCATTTTTTGAAAATTTTCCTGGGGAGGCCCCGGACCCCCCCCCCCCCCCCCTTGAAGGGCACCAGCGCACGCACCTGCAACAAGAAAGTAATCCATGCACTTTGAAACGTAAAAATACCGTCTCAACTATTACGTATAATTATGCTGTATTACCCCACATAATAAAAGACTGATCACATGCACATGGCACTATAACTCGTATCTACAAAATACACCCAACGCGTTTGTACTAGGGCTCAAACGGTCACGGTTTTACCCCTAACGGTTAACTGCTAAGCTAACGGTCGGTTTAACGGTTATAACCTATAAGCCACGGCAATCCTGCGGACTCTTTTTTAACCGTATATTTGACTATACACATTCAAATAATGTACCCTATTCAGTACAACACGGTACAACGCACACATGTACATTCTCTTGCATGCTTATTCATACATACTCTCACACCAAGAAACCAGATATGACCGAGTTGACAGCCCAGAAATTGCGTACGCGTGCGACAGCCTGCGAAAGTGCATACTTTGCAACGACCTGATACTTGAAAAATTGACTGAAAAGTTACTACGTAACCGTTTTCTTTATCGGTTAACCGTTAATTCTTCGTAACCGGTCTGCAACCGGTTAATCGGACTAACCATTTGAGCCCTAGTTTGTACCCACGACTCGCAAATTCCCCAGCCGGTACCTTCGAATTGAGGGTACAAACTCTCCTATATAACTACAAGCTCATCCAAGATTGGGGAAAGGCGAAGGCAAGAAGAAAATGTGCCGGGAGAAAACTTTAAAGCAAGAACTACTGTATAACACATTATTTTCGGTGTAACTTAAATTTCGGTAGAGAAACCGGGCACCTTAGTTAGATTACACCTAAATGGCACTTGAGTATGCACTTTAGTTGCAGGGAACGCTGGTCACCTAATTCTAAATTACACCTGAAACCTGGCAGGTCCCCGATACCGAAATTTTACTACACCTAAAATTACATGTCATGCAGTATAACCTCCAAATGCAGGCTTGGCTTACATTCGGTAAAGTATGGTACTACACGACTTATCTCCAGGGCCATGACAACCTGCACACAGCAACAGTTGCTGTACTGCCCTAGTAGTCAATCCTGTATATCCCAGTAGTACCGTATTTTCTGGAGTATAAGCCACACCCCCACCCCCTTTTTTTGCCCCGAAATACAGACATCTATCCTATTTATCTCCGCTAATTTGATTGCCGGGATATGAGCCGTACCCCCTCCCCCCTTTTATTGCGTGATTTTTGAGTGTTCAAAGTGCAGCTTACTGTAGTGCCGCGTATAAACGCATGACCAGTATAGAAGCATGACTCGAATAGAAGCCGATTTTTGAAGAGCGCCGTGACACAGAAGCACGATTTGAATAGAAGCATACGTGCAAGTACATGTATGTGCACACTACATGCATGACAATGTGCACTGTACAGTGTAGACTGAAGATTGTGACGTAGAAGCATGTGTTGAATAGAAGCATGGTTTGAACCCCAGCTTACGAAGTATGCGGCCGTAAGCACCTGCTTTTATACGCGACATTACGGTATACTCCGGAAAATACGGTACATTACATGGAAACTTGACATCACTGCACGGTCATGTACAGTGTAGAGTAGTGTGTATTTTTATCACATGGCACAGGCATCAATGCATGCTTGCTGAATTGCTGTACTTTTAGAAGTTGCCAGTACGCCAAGTGCTATCCACTGCACGCTCTGTGCTTGCCATGTGCTTGCCCTCGATAGCTGCATACCTCCAGACTTGCGTGGGAGAGACGTATTTACCTTTGTTTGTATAGGGATACGTGTACATGCATGATAAGTGATAACATGTGACTGTCTGTACATGAGTGTCTGAGTATGCTTGCATGCTAGTCAAGATCTGGAGCAGAATAGAGCCTCAGGCTGAGAAAAAGGTGCTATTGGCCTCACGCGCACAACTGAGAAAAGGGCACTTGAAAGCAGGGTACAGACCTTCGCTCTGTAAGGTTGCCTTCACAGCTGTGGCCGTAACTAATACTTCGAGATTTTTCAACACAGTTTTCTGCATATGAATCAGTGAGAATTTGAGTTTTAGGTACGCTATCTAACTCAATTTGACCGAAAATGCCAATCTCTTAATTTGCTGGCAAAAAGTCCTATATAATATAGGATTTGAAAATGCGTGACCTTTATGCCGTTGTTATTGGTCATCATGAGTCATTCATGACCCATAATAGGAGCATAATGGTTTTATTCCCGTAGCTATGCAGAAGACGTTACTTCAGTAACGTCTGGCGCTAGCCAGGGTCCACACAGCTTTAATTTGGTGTTTGTTTGTTTGTTTGTGTCACGGCTGGAGCTATCCCGTATCTGTCCCGTATCTGTCCCGTATCTGTCCCGTATCTGTGACTACAAAGGCTCTACAGGATTGTACATAACAGCTGTCCACAATATTTGCGGGCTCCTGTATCTGTCCCGTACCGTACCAATATTCGTCGTATTATGTATACGACTCCCTGATGTAGAGGGAGATTTGGAAAGAAATAGGGAGACGAGGAGGAAATTAAATTAGAATAGACGCCGAATAGGTGATAGGATGCGTCAGCATAAACATGCTTTGGACGAGAGATCCCGTCGTCTCCAAAATAAGCGTGAACGAGCGATTCAGCGCCGGTCACAGAAAACGTCGGGAGAGAGATCCCGTCGACTCCAGAACGCCCGTGATCGGCAGAGTCCGCCGGTCCCAGGCAACGTCAGGACAGACATCCCGTTGAGTCAAGAACGCCCGTGATCAGCAGAGTCTAAGCCTGTCCCAGGAAACGTCAGGACAGACATCCCGTCGAGTCCAGAACGCCCGTGATCGGCAGAGTCAGCGCCGGTCCCAGTAAACGTCAGGACAGACATCCCGTCGACGCGCAGAAAAACTAAATCTGCAGCCTCTTTTGCCGTCGGACAGGATACGTATTTTAGGAGACTGTAAAGTTATGTAATGTCCAAATTTCGACGTGAGCAGCAGGTCACTCGCGTTGATTTTTCGACTTGCGAGCCAAATAACGCGAGCTGAACTTTCGCGTCGCAGACATCCCGTCGACGCGCAGAAAAACTAAATCTGCAGCCTCTTTTGCCGTCGGACAGGATACGTATTTTAGGAGACTGTAAAATTATGTAATGTGCTCCACAGGCAACCATGCATTCGGCGGCGTCATTGGCTGAACAGGTCAATGTACATGTATTACTACAAAAAGGCCAGAAAATCCGATTACTGTATTAAAAATAACCTAAGAAAGGGTTTGCTCCCCACACCGGAGCTCGCGCTATTCCGCCGACTTTACTTGACACTTGACTGACTCACGACTGCCATCCAGAGCACACGAGAAGTCCATCGAACCTTCGACTCGGCAAACCTGCAAGAAAGCACCACTCCCTGCTCAATACACAGTGTTTCGGGGAATTCACCCCTCATCAGTTGAGCTTGAGTATCCCTGGTGATGTTTGTACCTGGAGAGCACTATATAAGTGGTGCTCTTCAGGCACAATCTTCCTCAGCCTACTCAAGCTCAACTGATGAGGGGTGAATTCCCCGAAACACTGTGTATTGAGCAGGGAGTGGTGCTTTCTTGCAGGTTTGCCGAGTCGAAGGTTCGATGGACTTCTCGTGTGCTCTGGATGGCAGTCGTGAGTCAGTCAAGTGTCAAGTAAAGTCGGCGGAATAGCGCGAGCTGCGGTGTGGGGAGCAAACCCTTTCTTACAAATCATCGCCGAAGTCGCAACCACTACTTCGTAAAAATAACCTACGTGGAGATAATAATTTTAATATAGCTACGAATAGGATGAAGGCCGCAGACATCACATGTCATACTGTATTAAAATCAACTAATTTTCGCTAGCGATTTAATTTCGCTGATTTCGCCGCTTGGTACCAACCTACCAAAGTAAATCGCAGGCCAAAGTTTGTCATATAGGCAAATGATGCATGATTGAGCAATGGATGCATGTGAGAGCAAAAATACCGATCGATTTCCAATTTGACGTGAAATTGCGCGTCACGTCGGAAATAACGTGCATCTTAACCACTCTAATAGAGAAGTTTCTATTTCTCATCGGCCAAAATTTGTTGATTTACAGTATAAGGAGATAAAAAGAAAAGAAGAAGCAAACGAAATGTAGATGATTATTAGAGAAATAACAATCCGCAGTAAATTCTGCAAATACTTTTGCCTAACTCATAATATTCAAACCGATTGAAACGTTTTTGCAATACAGTTATGTGGTCAATCAACGGAAAAAGACATTTCCATCAGTTCTTATAACATGTACGATGAGCTAGGCAAAAAAGCATAAAAGCATAGCGTAGGGCCCTGAGCTTCCAAGCTCTCTCGTTAGAAGCTGTAAATATGTTTGAGGCATGAATGTTTACTTTTTAGATTCATAGGACATCATGAATTCCTATTTTGAGCAAGAATTGGAATTTTCAGCAGCATTGTTCAGCTGGTGTCATGGGAAGGACTGAAGCAGTGAATGTGCAAAAGAACATTACAGGTGTGGCACGGGGTGGTTTCATGACGACATATCACACATGCCGTCGTGAAACTACCAATTTTAAGGATAAAACAAGGTCCAGTAAAATCTCAAATCCTATATATAGGATTCGAAAAATAGGGCACAGGCCTTCCGAATATTGCGCAAGGAGATGAGCCTTAGATGTTAGTATTTGAAAAAAATATCTTATTCAACTCTTCATATCGACTAAGACCTAACACGGAATAATTGGTCACGTACGTTTCCCTATGCTCATGCCACACCCATTTTGAGTTGAAAAATATGACCAAAATCCTATATATAGGAGATAGCACCCTTTTCTCAGCCTGAGGCTCAATGATGATTGTTGTTCAGAGTCAGTCATGAAATAACCAGTGCTCACGGTGATTGCACCCCCCACCCCTGTATTCCTGAGTGCCAAGTAGTGCGCCATGCCAATGCATGTCTATTCGGTGTACAGGTGGAATCCTGATAATTCAAACATGGCTTAATTCCAACACACGCAGTTTCTTCCTGGACCGATTTTTATCAAGAAAACATGTGGGATTTGTGCTGGTAATTCGAAGTTGGCAAAGCGTAATTCGAAGTTCGCTGTACAAGTCAGTTCAGCGTGCATGAGCGCGTTGTACTGTCCAGCTCCTTGTCCTCGAAATCTATGTCTAGTAGAACTCTATGTGACAACGAGAGTATTTCTACATAATGTGCGGCGGATACGTGTTTGGATAATTAGAATGTCAGGACAATTAGAGCATTTTGGGGTTCGAATTATGAGGATTCAACCTGTACTAGTATGATCCCATCCCCAGCCCATTGCTAGTACCAGATTGGTTGTGTGTAGGTGGTATCATTTGTAGTGTTGTTGTCATGCATTGAACTGTGTGTCTTGCGTTTCCTCAACTGCATACAGCTGTTTGATGAACCGTAGCTGGACAGCAACAGCGGTAAGTGCAGGACTGTAGTCCACAGCACTAGTTGAATAAAATACCGTTTTGGCAATACCTGTTGTTACATGACTGCTCGTACTCCATGTACGAAGCGAATGCAGATTTGATTTTGTACAACCATGCACAAACTGACCCAGCTCCCACCTCTCGACTATTCAGCCGGATCCAACCCTCTGACATCCTGCCGTTGTTTTTTGTTTTTTCTCCCTGTTGCAGTGTGTCAGACAGCTGTCATGTACTACTACTCGCTGTTGCGCAAAGGTATGTGCTGCATTGTAGCATATCGTGCAATGAAATTGAAATTTGTTCACTAGACTACCTCTTACGGCAAGTGTATTTTGGGTGGAGAGCGATTTACTGTTGTTTCCTGAACCTTCCTCGGTACTGGGCAATTTCAGGAATGTACGTGCTATAGATGCTCCAGTATATTGCACATGTACAGTAGAACCTCTTTTCTCCAGGCGCGTTGGCACCGAAGGGCGGCCACATCTCTGAATTGTCAGTAGCTCGGCAATGCAGTAGAGTAGAACATTGACTACCCGGACGATCGATTGTCTGGAATGGCTGGGACCCCTCCCTTCCTCAGATGATAAAACCGATTGGCCTCATCCATGGGTAAAACACAGTAAGAGCTGCGGGTTCTGATTTTTATGTGGTGAAATAGGTGAAAGGTGAAAGCCACGAAAAGGAAGAAGTTTTCAAGATTTGACTGCATGTACCTGCCTGCAGGGTGCCCTGTTGAGGGTGGCGGCCGGGCTGTCACAATAAGAGAGGTTCTACTGTGTGACTGAATGGCCACTAATCCTTAAGTTTGTGCAGGCCACCGAAAAAAAGTCGGAAATCCTCATGAAAAACTTTCAGTTGTTGTCTACGATAATTTTGCATCGTAAGTTTGTGGGTATACTGTATACATAAGTAAGTTGTCACTACATGATACATGTACCTTGATACATGTACCTTGATACATGTATTCTTCCCATTTTCTCTTCTGTTTCTGCTTTCTTTAGGCGGCACCAGCAGCCAGTAAACCCGGTAAATACCCACATAGGTCTAATGAGTGTATGGGTGTGAACTGGGTGGTGGTATATGCTGGTATATTTGATATAATGGGGGGGGGGGGGCATGATGAATACTTTCCCTGTTTCCCATGTAAACACTCACCTTGTGGCGAGATTCAACAACTGGTCACCGTCGAAGTTATGGACACATGGTAGATCAGATCCTACTCTCGCAACAGGTTTGATCATTAGGTACAGTGCTGGCCAGAGAATCCAACCTCATGAATATAGTAGCGCTACGTTTGAGTGTACAGACCAGTATGTGTAGTGCTAGGGCTGCGTAGCACTCGGCCCTATTTTATTCATGAGGTTGGATTTCTTGGGCCAGCACTGTAGTTTGCAGCTCATGTCATGGGTGAATTTTACAAGCAAACACGCCCATGTGTCTTGAATTATTGATGCTGCAAGTTTATTGTCTTGAAGTACATGCAATATTCTTTCCATCTCCCCTTGCATTTTCACTATAAAGTTAGTCATGTGTGTTTATGTGTATTCTTTTTGCGTGTGATTTCTTGTAGAAGCCAACGGGGAGGCACCGGGCACGGAACACAAATCGATAGGTGCTTGCAAAGGAACGCAGTATCTGAAGGACCAGCCAGACGTACCAATGTACGAAGATTCTTACTATCCCGACTGGCTGTTCAAGTTGACCTTGCAGCGCAAGACTCTGCTCGACTTGGATCCCGAAAGCCAGGAATTCGCCTACGCTATCCGCCGTCTCAAGATGTGCGCTAACAACTATCGCCACAAGTACAAGCTGGATATGTTCAAAAGGAAGCATTCTGTACATTAGGTCATTTGTCATTGCCATCTAAACACAATTCCATTTGAAATCTGCCGTGAGTGACCCTGTCTTTGAGATTTACTAGTATGTGCGTGATCTGTGTGCTTGATGGACCTCTTACTAGTCTTAGGCAATGCTCATGGTAGCAACATTGTAGTATCAGGAAAGAAACATTGGCAAATTTTCAAGCGCACACTTCACTGAGGAGAACATACTTGATCACCGTGTAGTGTAACGGGATGTATAGTCGTACTGAATTACGACTGGATGTCGCCCACGTCAGACAGGTGTTGCTACCTGGCAACTGCAAGCCAGCCGTAAACATACTGGCTGCGTTCGATTATGCACTTGAATCGATTCATGAATCCATTCGCATGCATTCAAGTCGTTCGATTTTCGTGTTTAAATGAGCCCTGGAATCGATTCGGAATCCATTCACTCTATTCACATGGGGTGATGTGAATAGCGCGAATCGATTCGTGTGCATAATCGAATGCACTCACTGCACAGTAACTGGGAGAGCACTAGCTAGCATCAAGAGTACATGAAAACCAGAGTGTGCAGCTCGGATGGGTGGCTGTCACTGTGGAATTCCGTGATTACATCATTTTAGTGATGTAGTGCGTACAAGCAGGATTCAAGCAGGTCTCTATCTGCACAACTGCAGCTCAGTTATACACACTATGCCATTTCCCGCCTCAGATCTGCACCAAATATGATGTAATCACGGAATTCCGCCGTGACAGACACCCATAGCAGAAAAGGCCCCAAGCCGCACTCTGGTTTTCATGTACTCTTGCTAGCATATATAGTACTATCCAAGAAAATGCTACTTCAGAAGTACTCCGCGTCATTGCAGTCCCATTGCAGAACTCTGAAGTGGATATTCGATGGTGCATGCGAGGGCCTGTTGTACGTGTGTTTTCTGATGTCGGTGCAAAGGTGTCACTGCATCGCACACCATGTCTGCTTGTATAAGTAGGAGTTTGTGTTGGATCAGATTGTGTAATGTAGACAGAGGTGTCTGATATGTGTATGCGTCGAGCATTACACCATCAACAATGATGTCAACTACGTTGTAGGGCTGCGTCTTTTAAAAACACACGAGAGTTTTCAACCCGCCTTGAACACAGATTGGAGCGTTTACTAGTACATGTACATGACCCATTGCGCTTGACGCGGAGTGAAATTGAGAAAACATACTTGTGAACTCAATCCGGGCTGAAACTTCTCTATGCTGTAGGCTTCTGTTGGGAGTTACTTGTCATTATAATCAAGAGTATATTATTAATGTTATAATGATAATCTAAAATAGAAGTTGTACATTCTGTCCCTGGAATAGTAGACATACTCTTGATTCATTGATAAACTTGTGCATGCATGCAGTGTTGTTCCATGAAATCGAGTGCCGTCACTCGTGTCGCGAGTCAGAAGATAGCACCGGGAACTGTGCAACGCACAGCAGCCCCCCCCCCCCCCCCCACACACACACACAGAAAAAAACAACAACTTGTGCAACAACACATCACTACTACACGGTAACAGAAAATCGTCATCATCA